AACATGAGAAATGTGAGCACTGTTGGACTTTTGTACTGTTACCTAAATACCCAAAAGGCAAGACAAACACTGATATGCATCTAATGCTCATATATTTTCATAAAATAAAATTATTTTTTTTCTATTTTGCATGATGGAAGCTTAAAGGTACAGTGTGTAGAATTTTGTGATATCTAGTGTTGAAATTGCATTTTGCAGCTGAACACCCCTCACCTCACCCTCTCCTTCCAAACATGAAAAGAAAACTACAATTCATACAATTTAGAAGAAACAAACTAGTGAAAACATCATGAGGATTATTCTACATAAAATTTCTGCCAATAGTTCCCTTTCACCTAAATCTTACACACTGGACCTTTAAATAAACTCTGGAACATTTCCTGTTGTTCGGCGTGATCCAGTGTAAGAAGAGCCACTTTCACATGGCATGTTGACAGGAGACACATGAATCAGTTCACAACAATCAGAACAAAAATGTAGGTCTGAGCAGAAGGATGGGACATACTTCTGATAATCAAATGTAGAACTGGTATATATGTTTGCTATTAAATGATACAGAGCTGGTGATGTACTGTAAATGTGAAAATTACTTGTGGGGCTAGGCTTTAACAGCACTTAAATGTTAATTTCATTCACCAGTCAAAACAACTTGTACATATAAAATATGTACAATAGAGAGGAGACTTGAACTGAGAAGAATCAGTCATTGTCATTGTTGCACTGGGAAAGTTGAATAAAGAGAAACTGGGTTTGGTTGTGGACACTTGAAGATCAATGATGTAACTTGGTTCGTTACTGCTCCGAGCTGTTGTAGAAACTGTTGTTATGACTCATTCAAGCCGAATGCGTCCTAGTATGACTTACCAAATTTCTTCAACTCTAATGTACGTAGAATGAGAAATGTGACCACTGTTATCTTGAAAAGCTGGGTTTCGGTGCTGTTACCTAACTCAATGACACGGATATGCATCTACTGTATGTGTATGGGGTTAATGAGCTTTTGGTAGCACCTTATTACAGAGTAAACTACAGGTTTCAGTCCACCATTGTGTTGAAAGGATGTGTGTGCAGTGGACTGTGGGGTGTTACGGCACACAAAAAACACAGTTCAGTAAGTATCTTGGTTTTGAGGTCACGGTTCAGTATGTTTTTGGTACAGTAGAAACAAGGAACAGAAAATATTAAACAGATTCTTTTATTCAACCCTGGTTAACTATGGCAATGTCTCTTTCAATAAATAAAGTATCTGAAGTATGTGTTTTTATTTGTGTTGCTGCCAGTGATTGACAGAGGATTTAATCACAAAGGAAACATTCCCTGATGGTGGCATCACACTAGCATGGCACATCATGTTCCTTCCTCTGTAGAAACTCTACTGGGACAGGGGCAGGACCAAAGCACTTTGTCCTCTTGGATTACCTACAGACCTGTACGTTTCCATGGAGCAAGTTGGGCTTTGACTCACTTGATACCCTCTCTCTGTAGCATTTGTGCTAATCTGAGAGTTAGGGGACTTTGGGGATAGCCATTCTCTTTCAAGATCAACTATAACAGACAGCATCAAGTTAGCAGTTATTTTCTATCCCAGGGTCAGTCAGGTTTTATTCCTCTGGTGACTACTGAAGTCATTCTTCTTTATTGGATATGTACCAGATTCAACTGTCCCTTTAGGCCTGAAACAACAACAGGAGGGGGTATTGTGTTTTGCTTCAAACATACCTCTTACTCCCTGAGGATAGACTGGAGGCTCTGAGACTGAGTGGCTGCGATAACAGCAGCAACAGCATCGAATACATTTCCTGTTATTGATATGTTGCAGTTCACTCAAGGGACCGTTGTGGCTGAAGATGATATAACAAAATGCTGTTCCTGGGACTAAAGTGAGAGACATTTTAATGATCCCCAACCAAAACAAGCCAAATTACTACTTACTACTACACATGTGTAGTTGTGTGCTTTTGAACAGCTCAAAAGACTTAGGCAGCTGTCGTTAAGGATGAGAGCGTTACTGACTGAGTTTACTTATCTAACATATAGTCTATCTATATGTTAAGTTGACTATAGGAGCACACACTGAACGTGACGTTGTGTGTTTTACTCTGGCACCATTCGTATCTTGTCAGTATTTTGAGGAGTTGGCATCTGTGACATGCAATCTTCAGTTGACATTGTTTCTGCAATAAATCACTTTGTGGAACAACATCACATAGTCTTCAATTAAGAGTCAAGTCGAGTCCTGTCCAGATTACTTGCACAACTCTTCATTAGTGTTGCAAAGCTCTTCACGTAACCAATTACTGCCAATTCACAAGAAGAGTGTCAAATCTGCCAAAAAGCTATCAACACCAACAATACAGATACTACCATTTTCAATTCTGGGTACAATTAACACTGCAGAATAAAAAACAGCTGAGGGGGTACTGAGATCCAGGCCGCTTCATGTAGCCTTACATGCAAGCCACCGCAGTTTTAGCCAGAGGTTGAAATACTTTGATAGCACCTGTCAGTGAGCCGAGTGGCACTTTGAGGCCAAGTGAGGAGAGGCTGTATTTCATCTAGACAAAAGGAATGCATTTAAAGGCTTTAACAGAGGAATGTAGAGCCTTGGATTTAACCCTCACCAGAGTAAATTGGTATTTAAAAGAACTGACAGTATCCAAACAACAGAGTCAAGTAGAGAGAGACAACCAAATTCCTCAAAGCAAATGTCAAATATAATCCCCCAACAGACTAAAGGGAGAAGCCATTGCTGGTAGATATCTCAGACGCCACTGACAGAGGCACTGCAGAGAGGAATAACATGGTTGGACTAAACATATAGCCATGTGCATTTCTTTTGAACTACTCTACATAATGACTAGCTGTGATTGCACAATATATACCCCTTATACATATTGAAAAGTACAAGTGGTCCTGAAACACAAAAGAAACAGTACGCAGGATGTTGTTACACTACTATGCTACAAGGATGACAGGCCTGCTTTAGAGGAAGCGAGAGGGAAGAGATTTCACTGCATTTTCAATAGAAAGAGGCAGCAAGTGTTGTGACACACCATTAACTCTGCTCTGCAGTGTCTGCAAAAATACTCACTGCAGAGGAAAGTCACAAAAAGGGGAAATAATGTGAAGGCACGATATCCAGCTTCAAACAAACTGAGATGTCTTTTTTTTTTTTACAATAGATTCTGATCATGTTGCTCGTGTCCCACCCATAATGTCATACAATACTAGCTAAGCCTTTTTTTTTTTTTAACAAAAACTAACAGACACCATATTGTTGCTGTCCTAGTTTAAAAGCACCCAGAGCTACTCCAGTAGTTTTCTCAAAAGTAACCATGTCCCATGCAGGTCTGATTTGGTCTGATTTGGTATTATAACTATTCCCCACTTTGCCTACATGTGTAGACCCAGGTGTAGGCACCAGCCCTCTATTTATAGCCATCGGTTTGCCCGTTGCTCAATCCAGTCTTTGCTAAGGAGATTTAGTCTTCCTGCTTCCTCCTTCAGGCTGGCGTAGAAAGCTGGTTTCCATTTAAGGAAAATAGCACCTGTACTGTAAAAAGAAAGTAATTCCCATGTAATTTCCTCATCTGATGTCATTTAAACAAGTGAAGCAGGAAAACACTGCAGAAAAAGAAACAGCTCAGAAATAATGCACCTCTGGCTAGTTCAAATGTTAGGCTAAAATAGACAGTTGTATAATAAGGCCAAGACTCTGCAGGCATGCACTAACACCACATTACTGACAATAAGCAGCTGAGGTCAAATCATTGCTGAGTAAACCATTTTCCACTGTGTGACCTGATTATAGGTCCCAGTGTAGTACGCTATAGTTTCTTTTTCAAACACTGGTAAAAAGAAAACTCACAGACGTGACCCAGCAGAGAATCAGTTGCTTAATGTTTTCTATGTGCAGTTTCTGAAGCTTTTAGTGAGTGCATCTTCTCTGATATCCAACCTCCCTCAGCCCGGCATCACAAGGGTAAAGACTAACTGAAAGTTGCACATAAAATAAAAGGAAAATTAACACAAGAAAAATGCACATACAGAAAGCATAGATGGCACCAGAAACACAAAGCAAAATGAGAGCTACATTCAAATCCACACTCCCTGCACTCAACATGGGCACTCGTGCCTGAAAGTGAACAAAAACATGCACATGGCGGTCGTTTGCTAAAAGCCATGGTAGCCACTGAATTCTTTACGCTGCAAATGGACTACCACCTCCAGGTCTGCGATGGAACCTCTGACATAACAGCCCAGTTGTGCTGTATATTCAGATGCTGAGTGTGCAGATGTACAGCATGACGGCTCAACACTGCAGTTAACATTGAAGACATCTTAAACCTCAAGATGACAGGAACTAGATGGGGTCAGTGCAACTGTCTTCTTCTTCTGTGCTGTTGTATAAAACCGATGTCCATTTAAAGAAAACAACTATCTGGAACTTGGGGTGTTAAAAACACATGACAGGGTGTGTGAAGAGTAACCCACATGACATACGAGTGTGGTGTATGTTGTAGAAGAACAACCTCACTCTAGCAAGTAGTTCACTTGCCAGTATGAGGATACTGTCAGTGTGTTCACTGTTCACACTAAATCAGCTCCAACTCTGTTGCAATAATTCAACACATTAGTTGTGATGGCTGTTTTATTTGATTCGAAATTTATGCTGACAGAACTGCTCAGAGCACTCTCAGTGTAATGGTGATGCACAAACATTGGAAGTGAACTGCCTGCATTGCAGTCTAGCTTCAGCAACAGCATTTTTTTTATGTGAGCAAATGAAAAGCAAGGTGTGTAATTCAATGACTACCCTCTGATGGTGACCTCTGAAGCACCCACCCACCAGCATTACATAACTCTGCATCTGTGATAAGGATGCTAGCAGAGATACCATTCGATTATAACTGAATTGACCATTAGCAGATAATAACTGTTGTTTGATAATCTACGGCGTGCAATACATGGCTGACCCGCGTACAGGTAGAGACACTTACCGCCATCACCAGCTCAAAGGGATGCTTGTACACCCGCACGGGTGACTGGTACTTCTGCACCATGATGGGGATTAGAGTAACACCAACAACCTGAAGAATAAATCAATAAGAAAAGAAAGAGTTATGATCCATGATCCCAGGTATTTTTGAAATAAATTGGGGGGGGGGGGGGGCTCAATGATCATTGGATGCAGTATTGCCTGCTCATTTATCAGAGACTGTACCACTGCAAGGGCCTTTCACTACAAACTACTGGGGATTCAATGAACTAAACTACAGTCACTGCAGAAGCTCAGGTCACAAGTCGCTTCATGTAATGATGATTTGACATGCTTAAGCATCTGAGCAGAAAACTGAATGAAAGGAATCTTCTGGTCATTTGAATGGTGCCAGCTGAAAAGGACAAATGCTCTTCAAATGTTTTCATGAAGCAAACACCCTGGCTTGAACTTCATCTCCTGGCAGCATGCTGATACATGCTTCTAACCACTGCTAAGCTGTAGGAACACAGCTGCAGGGAGGGGTGTGAGCTGCCGTCCCGGCACAGCACTACTTTCAGAGGGATCAGGGCAGGCGCACTAACAATAACCGGGCTGTATAGACAGACAGACAACACACAGACAGGTCGCCACAGTGTTTATAACTAAACAACACATATCTAACACATAATTACCGCCATGCTTCAGGATCTGTCAGCAACGTCAAAGCAAAAACAATTACTTCAACAAGAGACTCAGGGTGACAGTTTCAAACACACCATTCAGCTTCTCTTTCTGTGTCTCGCCAGGTCTAAGTGATTGGCTCCAGCTACAGAAGTACCACATCTGATTATCCTCTCCGACGTCCATGCATAATGTCCGTGTTAGATAACCACGCTTCCCACTGGACCCGGTATCTGTCAGCTAATGTTTTGAATGCTGTCATTTCTAGCAATTGTTTTGGTCTTTTCTGGTGTGGTTTCCGCGGAGCAGGATGTTTTGACTGAGCTCGAGCTGGAGAATATCACACACGTCAGCAGGTGTTGTGTTTCTAGCTACAACTCAACAGCTTGGTGTTGTTGTTTCACCACAATCACCTGGTGAGTAACATTTGCCACGCCGACTTGTTAACGTTAGCTTACACAACAGTGGCTAGCAGAGACTAGCCAGCATGCTAGCGCTAACTTTACAGATCGCTGTTAAGTCGACATAAATCTCATACATAGTGCTTACCGATGACTGGGACCACTAAAGAAATGTGGAGCTGTTCCGTCTGCTTAGTCGCTGTGTCTTCTGAAAGAGCTATCCGAGGGAACTCTGGCCATTTCACCTCCTCGGCTCTTCACTTCGCCGGGTCCGTGTGTTGAGCTGAAGCCAGCTTGCTAACAACAGTTAGCGTCGCTGTGATAGCTGGCCATGTGGCTACAAAGCTAACCGTCGGAGAAGCCTCACAGCCCGGCGATGAGAGGGACAGTGAGAGCGATAACCGGAATATCCAGAGCCGTGCACCGTGTGATCACACACACACACCGAGGAGCAGCGTCGCCGGAGGAGGACTGCGTCCCTCTGCCTGTCACCTCCTCCTCCTCCTCCTCTCTCCCTGGGTCATCGAGCCTGTGACGCCATCGCTCCTCCCCCAGCTCAGTTTTTTTCCACCTCTCGGAGCAGCGCAGTGCTGCGTTCACTGACCACATCTGCTCAGTGAAGAAGGACGAGCACCAGAGGACAGTGAGCAATCATATGAATCATGTCAAAGCACGCCTATAGACATCACATCGCTGCTAGTATTGATCTGTTTCAAACCATTTCCTGTGAATTCCGGTGCAGTCATACATGACGCAGAGCAAATCTCATTTACAGTTAGTTTTGAAAGGAAACCAGATGATTGGCACATGTTTCCAGTGAAGTGTTGTGTGTCTAATGTGCCTGAGGTAACAGATGCCTTACTGTCAGCAGAAGCTAAATATGTTGCAATGGACAACAGATACATACACTATCAGCATGAACAGTAAATGGGGATAGTTTGAACTCATCCTGCTTATTCAAAGCCTCTGCGCACACACACATGGGTATTTGGTTATTGATTGATTATTAGACCTGGTCATGTGGGAGTATAGTGGTAATTTATAATGTTGCACAACTCTAATTACTATTAAGAAAAATGACTGGTCAATACATTGATTTGGATTCATTTTCAAAAATAATCATCATTGACTTATTACAATATTTAGATTTGTGAATATATGATTTATCAAGTGTCATAGTCAAAATGATTATATAGTATTACTTTGATTTGTTGGAGAGAAATTAGAGTCAATATGCCAGGAAATAAAACAAATATCTTGCCAAAAGCAAAATTAGTGGAGATGAGACCAAAAAAAAAAGACAATTATCTTCTGGAGCCAGATGACAGAAATAACATACATTTATGATGTTTATGTGTCTTTTAAAAAAAAAAAGAGGCATAAAATTGATTAATCCTTTTGAAAGTCACTTCCTTAACCTTAATATTACTTACATTTTCAGGTTGTTCCAGTAAGAAACAACAGAACAGAGACTAATTCTGTGCTGTAAAAATAGGATAGCACCTTGAATGTATATATGATCCCAGATTGAGGTTTTTGTGAGACCTCATCTCCTGGCTGTGTGTGCTGTGTTTGTCCCGGACATGTATTGCTGAATGTTGAACGGTTTAATAAAAGTTAAAAAAGTTAAAAATAAATACAACAAAAAAACAATGACAGGTCAACAAGTAATCCCGCCCAGTCCTGAGGAGAGGTCGAATCAGAAAACAGCTGCATGGATGGACTGTGCACAGGCTTTAAAATACATCTACAGCAATGTTATATTGTACTTCCCTTAAGATGGGAGACCCATACAAGACCAATTTTGAAAAGACCAAATTGAAGCATCAGAAATTGTGATATATTGAATTGAGCTTAGGTATGGGGGAAATCACCCCTGAAGGCATCGTCCTCAGATGTAAGGATGCTCCCTCAGAGCCACAGATGACATCATACAGTGGCTTTAACAGTTTACTTTGCTGCCTCTATATAGAGTCGTGGTCATGAAGAGAGTTCTTTGGTATTTACAACCTCAGTAGGAATTTTCTGAGTTTATAAGTTGTGGCATTTTGGCAGATGTTTTCTGACATGACAGAGGCCATGGAAGTTTTTCCATTGGATGGTAGGTTAATGGTCGGGTAAGATATGTCAATTGAATACACCTTTTGTCAAATTCTGCTATCTCCTTACAGCTGTATGTTCTGGTTCAACTAAACAGCCCTATGCTAACAGGAAGTTATACCCACAATCGTTCTCCCAGAGAGTAGGAGAAACTACCGAAAACCATAGAAACCTGTTAGCCAAATAAGAGGGAAATGTTTTTTAGCATAATGGAAAGGTGTGTCAATGTTTAAAGTATTTCTACATAGAATACATTTAGATAGAGATGAAGGGAGCAGCAATGACAATTAAAATGGAGGAGTTATTGCCAGTAATGGTATATGTGAGTAAACATATTGAATATACTGTATATAACTAACCCAAAGAAGATAAAGAAATAATGATAAGCTGAAGACCCACATGCACATCAGTGAGGTGTGTCAATGGTGGAGAGACCACCAGGAGTTGCATTTAGTACCATTTGAAGGCAGCATTACTCCCCACAATTACTAAACTATATTTGTAAAAAAAATAATTATTTAAACATTTTCCACCCTTATTTGCATTGGTCTTGACTAAAGCTTTAAATACCTATAACCTAATGTAGCACAGGGTTACACCAAAGGCTCTCCTACTTAAAAGGACAGTGGTGTGTCTCTGGTTTCATATCCTCAAGAGTGCAAGGTGCCAAACCCCCAAACATCTTGCATAAATGGAGACAGTGTGAGCCATTATAGGGCACAGGTAATCAATCGTGCTGCTGTTAGAACCTGATAGTTAGCCTAATGTATCCCTGACATGTAAAATGAGCTTTGCATGCAAGTACTGATCTTGTGAACAAAACAAGGCCCGATAACCTGAAACACAAGACCTCTATTGTACAGTTTAAACAGTTTCAATTTGAAATGTTAAGGTGTAGGTTAACTTGCATTAACCCCAACAAACAAAGATACTGATACTAGAATGGTTTTCAGTAGAGCGCATACCCTTCACTAAGGCCAACCACTCCCCTTAAATTTAACTGAGCTGCACCAAATTGCTCACACTAATAGATATCAGTCCCCTAAATGTGTCTGATCTTTTTCATCAAGATCCCTGAATTAATCTGTGGGAAAGTCAGTCAAAAATAGAATAAGATCCTGGATCTGCCCCTTTAACCAGATTGCATTGGTTATCTCCTGACCTGCACTGCATTCTTCTTCTTCTAAGCTTCATGTTAATCCATCCAGTACTTTTTGCGAAATCCTGCCAAATAACAAACAAATCAACAAACAACAAATGAACAGGGGTGGAGGAATAACCTCCTTGGTGGAGGTAGTAAAGTGAAAAACACATTTTAATAAACCTAAATAAGTGGTTCTTGACAAATGATCTTTCCAGCTCATATGTTATGTACATGAGTGTTTATTTGTTTTTGCACAAATATGTCCGGACTATTCTGTGGCCTATATATAAGCTTCTGTTTAGTTCTCAGAGTTAAATACACTCACATCCTAATGATGTAAGAGGTTTAGCACTGATGGCGGTGGATGATAGCATTAAGGCGATTGTGTTTCAGAGGGCACGCTAGTTGAATTCATGGCTCACAACAAGGTCTGTCCCCACAGCAAATGTGAAAGAAAAACAGTTACCCTCAAAATACACATGTTATTGAGTGTTCATATAAGCTGGGGAATTTGTTTATAGAGAATATGGTCCATTGAATTGGATTCCCTTGAATCCACAAGTAATACACCATTCCCTGTTTAAACATGAAAACAGGATGCAGCAGTGAATACAGCCGCTTTGGTTAAATCCAGGTCACTGCAAAAGGTCATGATGTTGTGCGTTGTTTAGTGGATCAGCGTACGATCGTCACCTTCATTGAGTGAGAACAGAACAAAGACACCATTAAGTGGGGTGTGTAGTGGGCTCGCCAGGCTGAAGGCAAATACTGGGTAACTGTGATGTCCTAGATTCAAAACCAGCAGGAGTGAAAACAGGAGACCACTGCTGATACTTTGTCTGATCAGCTGTGCAGAGTGTGATCAAGAGCATGTGGTCCATTGATCATGCATCTGAGGTACATAGTGATATGCTACATTGGCTCCATAACTGGAGACTAGATCACTTAAAATATTGTTTGAAAAGTAAAAGTTAAGGTCTACTAAATGGCTTGACAACATTTTCAATGGATGTGCAGTGACCTCTAATGGGCAATAGCTGCAGTTACAACTCATTGAAATCTGAGCGTGCAATGAACTGTTGAAAGTGTCAGTGCGTCAGTGGTTTCTCACGTTTCAGTTGTAGTTTGTTTAAGTTTAGTCAACGAAACAATTTGTTTAGTTTCAGGAAACGATCATAGTTTGGGTTGAAGTAGACTCTTTCACAATGTTATACACAGGCACGGGCATAAAGATAGACACCCAAATGCAGCAAATGTGCATTTGATGGGGTAAAATAACAACCATTTTACAAAGATACGTTACAAAGATGAGGTTATACACAACAACATGGCTTCATTAGAGCGCATTATTTGGAGCCAGCGTAATAAGATAATCACAATTATATTCATAAGATTAACAACTGAATTAAATAAAGCAAAGCAAACAATTTTAATGATCTTTTAAAAAGATGAATCAAGGCCACATCTTAAATCTTCTGTGTTCCAAGTACATAACATGAGAACCTTCTTATGTTAGAGTTGGCAGGGCTACTTCACAATGAACTCACAATTTATTTCCACAGTTGAACAAAAAACAGCCTAGATCAGTCAGCATCTTTCATAACTGGGGCTGAATTTCCTTTATGTGCACTCATTTCCATAACCATAGAATATATCAAAACACAGCCAGCAGAGGGCCTCGGTTAAACAAGACACAAATCTGACATCCTGAAGCCTTATACAACCGATTCTTTAGAAAGGATTAATGCATGTATGAATGTTTGCAGAAACGTTAGTAGTAAATCAACTGAAGCATATTGAAGTAGCTTAAAGAAGGAATGAGATCAGGCTCAGTTGAAATGAGTAGTTAACAGTCCTGTTCATGCACCTGAATGTGCAGAGACTATTTTTTATATGCACAGTGCTACAGTCACATCAGTAACCCACTGTCCACTTATATTTTACCATCAGGCACCTACTAACATTTGTGTGTACATCCCGCCCCACTGGGACGCAGAGATCTCCTGCAGCTGAGCAGAGACCAGCCTGAACGCAGGATGTGGTTTTCAGAGTCTGAAAAACCGAACTCAGCAGGAAGTGCAACCTCGGTGTGACAGGAAACTGATATTAACAGTCAACAGTCTATACTCACACAGGTAGCTGATGACACATGGATACTGTCAGACTGCTTTACAAAAAGAGATGTCTCCCTAAAGATTAAGTCATCCTAATTAAACACAATACTTTTTTAATAATTGAGTAATGAAATTCTGTTAATCAGTAAGTATCTTGATAAATGAAATAAGACTTCTCACACTCATACTGCAACAAATAATAACTGCTAGAAGAACAGGTTTCCTCTGAGGTGAAAGTGGGGGAATAATTTCTATACAACAGAACAGGAAGTGAGAAAGAAGGGAAGTATAAAATGAAAACATAAATAGTAGAGAACAACAGATTTCTTCTCTATCATTTTATGAGGAAGCAAACGGTTCATGGGTAAGAAGAGTTGAGCGTTGCAGCAAAGCAACCACAGAGAGTAGTCGCGTTTTGTTGCCGGATAACATTCTGCAAGACAGGAAACGAGAGAAGCAGAGAGACTGAGCTGGTGCAGGCACAATTTTTTTTATCTTCCTTAACACGGACAGCAATCTCCAAGTTAGTGGTAAATCAGAAACACATCTCCTGAGAAGGTATTTGAATTTTGTTTGATGCATCTTTGAGAGAAGAGAACATTTTACTCACACACCCTAATCTGACATGGGCACTGAGGAGAAAGATTCAGAGCCTGCAGCTCAACAACCAAAGGAGCATGGATCACCAGAGAAGGAGAAGGAATCTGCTGTGGAGCCTCCACCAGGACAAATATCTGACACCACCGACACCCTCAATACATACAGTTGGCAAACCGGCTCCAAAGGGACGCTTGATGATGTGAAAGAACAAGGAGAGGGAGAAGCAGCTTCTTCTACATCTACAATCGACAAGATCCAGAAGGCCTCCTCTAACAAATGGAGCAAGATGCAGAACTGGCGCAAGGCCCTGAGCGAGGACCCTGGAGATAAAAATTCATCTGGAGGGAAAGGTGGAGAGGTAGCCAAGCCGGATAAAGGTGCCAGTGGAACCAGAAAGAACCCCTTCAGAAGGGCCCTGTCTGAGCCTCCGGGGTCCCTGTTTGCAGCCCTGTCCTCCAGCGCAGCCGGCTCAGCCAACGCAGCTTCGTGCTCAGCTGCCGCAGAGGCCTCGGCAGTCTCCTCTACAGACCCTTCACAGAAGGCAGGCGGAGGGGCACTCTTTAAAAAGTACCTGAGGACTGTTTCCCAGAAGCTCAAGAGGCCCAAGCTGCAAAGTCGGAGCAGCAACCCGGCATTACTCCATGGTAATGACATACATACTCAACTTATTCTTAAAGTATTACACAGTCTTTCGATTTCATGTTTGAGATAAGCATGGGAGTTGGGAATTATTTTCTTTTTTATAATAACGCATATTTATATTATGAACAAAATATGAGAATAGGTGCATACCAGTGTTTAAGATGCACAAGGCAACGTATGTTTTCACTAATCAAAATGGTTGGCCCATGTGGTTTTGTATGTAGTATCAGTGACACAGTCGAATAGGTGAGGTATATGTGACTTCAATCAAGTGTCTTATTAGACGAAGTGATTAAAAGAGAAGCTGACAAACACAAGACAACATTAAACAAGAACATAGAGTCTGAAAAGTAGATAAAAGACCACAACAGAACATTATCTGTAAAATCTCTGGGTTGAATTCTGGAAAGTGCGTGTGGAATATAATTATTAGCAATGTAGCATGTATGTTCAAATTGGTGACAAATGGAAAACTAAGCAAAAGAGCAGATTTCCTCATTTTAATGAAAAATATAAATAAAATAATTGGATTAACCTTTCAATGGATTAGAGCTTGACAACTTTTTTTTTTCAAATGGCATCTTAAAAACGTTTTCTGCAGAATGTTTAGTTTTGGTCATTCAATATGTTGGAGAGACAGTGTGATCACACCTGACAACCAATCTGAATTTGAAGGCACAAAAGAATCTGGATCAGTGTTAACATCAAGAAACTATTTGTGGATATGATTCTTTTACCACATTCCCCTGATATTTAATGTGACAATAATGAGCAAATAAACTAAAATACATTATTTTTGTGTTTTATACAGACAATCTGGTCTCTCTAGATCATTTTAGCAGTACTGTCACATATTCATGGTGAACATAACAAGGACCAAAACTATCACCTTTCACAAAAAAGTCAAAACCAATAATGTAGAAAAACATGCCTTTCCCCACAAGCACCTACAGATTTACAAAAATGAGCTAAAGGAAACTGCTCTGCAGAGAAGGCAGCTGTTTTAGTATTAAGTAATAAGTATTATTTGTTCTTATACCAACTGCACTTTAGTGGCACAGAGGCCTGTGGCTCCACATACCGAACTCTTTGCTTTTTCATATTTCCATATTTTTTGTCTACTAGTAAAATAGTTTGAAAAAAAGGAGTTTTCTCAGTCAGCAGATTCAGAGGCTGAATGACCTTTTATCTAGTGACATTACAACCCCAGTAAATGTCGGACGAGCTTCAATGCAACACACCTGGCCAAAGATCATGTCCACAGTAAATTTGAAGCACCATGATGATAAGTAAAGACAAAACTACAGAGACACCACAGGATTTGCGCAACTCATCCTGGTGTGTCATGAGAGCGATATCATCTAAAGCCCAAGGAGGGCAACAAATGGGAGTGACCAAGTGCTGTAGGAGATAATATAATTACCAAAAATAAAAGAAACAAGAGCCAGCATGTGCCTCCAATTAGGCTCCTGCAATGTCCATATATTATATAGGATATTAAGGATACAGTTGGTTCTCCAAAGGAAGGGAAACTATTCTTTTATTATCTATTTTGTAGAATATGTTTAGTATGCATTTATATTTTATGAATAAAGCACTTACAGCCGAGTCATGTCTCATTGTAAGCTGTGCAGTAGTGTAGAATAGTATAGAATATTAGTATGTGTTCTTGTGCTCTTGTGTGGCAGATGCGGGAAAGGCTGTACCTACTGAACTGCCACGACTACAATGGGCCCCACCTCAAGAGGTCCCCATCTGGGACATCAGCAACTGTAACCTTGAAGATGGACAAATTCTCATATCCCCGGAGGAGGAGGTACAACTAACTTAACTTAAAAATGTGAACTCAAGGTAACTCTTCCAACTGAAAAAAGCACAAAGATTTATGTGTGTGTGTGTGTGTGTGTGTGTGTGTGTGTGTTTTTCAGCCAACGATGTGGACTCGAAACCGTGTCAGCAGCTGCCTGTCCAACCAAAGCATGCAGAACCTTGCAGATATCGACACAGGTTCATACACACACGCAAGTGCACACGCACACACGCACACACACACACACACACACACACACACAGGAAGTCAATGTAATGACTAACGCTAACCATCTTCTAACCTAGCCTGAACTGAATAGTACTTATAAGAAAATTCCCCATTATGTTACTGTGTAAACGGATTTCTCCTCACAACATGAGTAATACCTGCACCCCCCCAGCTGAGACACATAATCTCCCCATCCCCCATTTATATAAACTAAGCAAAATATAGAACAAATATGTGTGTTAAATAAAAATGCTGTGAACCCTCAGTAAAACCACCAGGAAACTGAACAAACATTATTGCCATAACAGCTTCTGACATCATGTCCACACTAATGGTTCTGCAGACAGAGGAAATAGCTGATGTTTATGCGTCAAATTGTTTCCTCTACGTTTTTTGGGGAAGATAGCATCTCGCCCATGTGTTCTACCAGTCCAATGAGAGCTTTCAAAGAGAGAGCGAGAGAGAGAGAGAAGGCACAGTCAGTGTCTGTTATTAAATTTTGACTGCTTGGCTGGTGCTCGCTGTCACCATCAACAGATGTTAATGAAGAGAAGAGGGCAATGTTGCACAGACAGAGATCAAAATAGCAACACTGTGTGACACCTGCAGACTAAATGATGGGATTCAGACGCTGGTTTGTCTGTGGTGGGTCACTGGGTAAGACATTATTATTCATGTTGTTAACTTTTGAGTTTAAAGATGTTTTTCCCTAATAACTGAAGGATTAAAAAATAGCAATACTGAAACTACAAATCGGGCAGAATATGATTTGTTTTTTAATTTTATCATCTGCATAGTTCTAAATAGCTTTTCACATACGAATGTTTGCAAGTTAAGGGTCTATATTGCAATAGACTTTAGTAGACTTTAGTCAATCTGTTGCAGCCCTGCCTGAAAACCACATCCTGTAAGGGCTTATCTGTTTGTATTTGCTAATATAATAGTCTTGGCTAATCATTTGAAGGTTTAATCTTTCATCTGTTGAAGCACAGTCGTGTACTGCCAGTGAAGTTGAAGCAGTCATGAGTTCTGGGTAAAGGGTTTGAAGACAGGTGGTGTCAAACAAAAAAAATACAGAAAATTAGTGTAAAAAGACAAAATGTTGACGACTAACCTCAAACAGAAATGGTGAGGAGATATTGCAAAAGCATAGGTGTGAAAATAAGCTTGGTTTCTTTTGGCCTGACTCTTAGAATGCAGTCCTGACCATGGGGGCCTGTCAGGTGGCCCACGACCAAAGAACCAAGATGGTGGTGTGAGGGTGAGTATTTTAGACATAACAGATAACAATCCTTCTGCTAGCCCCACTTTTCCTGTTGATATTATATATAATTGCCCTCAAACACCATGCTTGCCTTCTTCACCCTCAGGCACTGATCAAGAGACGTCTGGAGAACAAGGCCAAGAGGAATAGCAACAGCCAACTAAACTCATCGGGGCTAAACAAAGGAAGCAGGTAAACTACACTGTTTCTGTAAAGCAAAACACAGTACAGTCCACAAGTACTGATACTTCCTGTGTACTCCACAATATTAGATTTGGCATCTCTGTGGGGCTGCGCTAAATGCTAATGTCAGCATGCTCACAACCACAGCATTAACATGTTCATAATTCTAGTTTAATTTTGTCTTACATCTAAGTATTGAATAATTTAAAAAATCGAAGAGGAGAAGCCAGGGGATAAACAAAATGCATAGACTTCATCCTCTGGGCACAATGGATATTGTGGATAGTGTTCAAAACATCATGGAAATCAATATAATGTCTACAAGGCATTTATTTTAATTACACAGATTCTTATCTAGCAGCATATATTTATTTCATCTCCTCATGTAACCTTTCATGATACCAGCAGTCTGTCAAAAATAAACGACATTCATCTTCAACAAATAATATTTGACACTTAACATTTTATAATTTTTACTATGGCAAAATCTTTGCTCTTATTTAAGGCATTATAGTTCCCGGGAGTCTGTGTCAATTCCAGTCAATGCCATGGGGACTCTAGATCTGAGCGCAGACACCAGCACTGTCATCAGGCCAGTCCACAGCTCCATTCTGGGGGAGAAGTACTGCTTCGAGGTAAACCTTGACTTGTGTTTGTTCCTTCAGGTTCCTTAGCGAGAATCATATGGTGCCTGTGTCAACAAAAGAAAAACAGTAACAGGCTCCTTCTGGTTTAATATACTTACAGGTGATAAACTCTGAGAGCACCCATTGTTTTGGCTGCTCCTCAGCTGCTGAACGTGATCGTTGGATTGAGGACCTGAGACGGGCTGCCCAGCCCAATAAGGTAGGAACTAAACATCTGTTGTTAAAATGTTTCATGGCAAATCAAAATTCGAATAAAGCATCTAAGTTTATCAATATTAACAGGATAACATTGAACGCACAGAGAACTCCCTGAGTCTGTGGATAAATGAAGCCAAGGATCTGCCACCCAAAAGGCGTTATTACTGTGAGGTACACCTAGATGGGACCTTGTTTGCCCGCACCAGCAGTCGAGCTGTTGGCAAGCCAATGAACCGCTCCAGCCTAGCAGGGGACAGCTCCTATGGGTCCTCAGGAGGCCAGGGGGCCAGTGGAGGTGTGGTTGGAGGGTGTCAACTATTCTGGGGTGAATTTTTTGAGCTTGACAACCTGCCCTTTGTCTCTCAAATCACCTTGCACCTCTTCCGTGAGGATGACCCCAAGAAAAAGCGTCACTCCAGAGAGGAGTCAAGCCTGCACCCACTGGGCAGTGTGGCTATACCTTTAGCCGATATCCAAGGGAGGACCTTTCAGGAGAAATGGTATCCAATCACTCCATACAAGGCCTCAGGCACAGCAGGGACGAAAGACCTCCTGGGACCACAGGCGTCACTACGTATAAAATCCCGTTTCCAGAATTTGAAGGTGTTGCCCATGGAGAAATACAAAGAGTTTGCAGAGTATGTGACAGTGGATTATGTGGAAATGTGCAGAAGTCTGGAGCCACTTCTGAATGTCAAGGAGAAGGAAGAGCTGGCAGGAGCGCTGGTCCATGTACTGCAAAGTATTGGCAAGGCCAAGGTGAATAATGAGCTAAAGAAATCACAATTTTAAAGCCTCACATAGGGAAAATATCATTAAACACAATCTGAAATAACCCAATAAGAAGAAATGATTATAATAATAAGGAATAATAACTTTTCTTAACTGAATGCATGTTTCAGGAGTTCCTTATTGACTTGGGTGGTGCAGAGGTGGAGCGTCTTGGAGAGAGGGAGGCACTGATCTTCAGAGAGAACACACTGGCCACTAAAGCCATTGATGAATATATGAAGCTTGTTGGCCAGAAGTACCTCATTGATACACTAGGTAGTATCAATTGAAGATTATTATTATTATTTTCATCATAACATCCAGTCTGAGAGAGCTCAAATGTGATGGTACACATCTGGTCCTGGTCTCTCTCAGTTTCTCTCTTTTTAGCAAACTCTGCAATTTTCTTTTTCACTACAGGAGACTTTATCACCCGTCTTTATGACTCGGTGGAGAACTGTGAAGTCGATCCTCGTAAATGCCCCGCCTCTGATCTGTCAAACAATCAGAAACACTTGAGGGAGGCCTGTGAGGAGGTGGCGATGAAGATTATTGAGATCCATGGGTGAGATCAGAGCTCAGCTCATCATGGAAAAGTCAGAGAAAAACAAATGATGAATGTTTAGGCCAGCAGTAATGTTTGAGCAGAATTCAGTGGGCTGATGTTTCACATGTTTCCTGCCCTCAGAACCTTTCCTGAAGAGTTAAACAAGATCTTCTCCAGCTGGGTGGAGCTGTGCGAAGACCAGGGCAGACCAGAGATCGGCCAGCGTCTTATCTCTGCTTCCCTCTTCCTTCGCTTCTTATGCCCTGCTATCCTCAGTCCTTCTCTTTTTGGTCTGACGCAGCCTTATCCAGAGCCAAACACCCTGCGTACCCTCACCTTAACTGCCAAAGTCATCCAGAATTTGGCCAACTTCACCTTGTGAGTAGCCTTTCACCTGGACTGGAAGTCTAATACAATACTTGAGCAAAAACATCTTTTGAAAAGATGAAAAATACATTTTCTAAATTGACAACTGATACTTAACCTGAGGTGGAGTTTAAGTAAATGAAACCTTTCATTCTGTTTCAGGTTTGGTGATAAGGAAGAGTACATGCTTTTTATGAATGAATTCTTGCAGCAACACTGGAATGGAATGAGGAGTTTTCTACAAACAGTGTCAAGTCAGGTCAATGAAATCCCGATGACTTCTTTTGACGGCTATGTGGATCTGCCTCTGCGCCTGGCCGTGCTCCATGGCCTGTTAGTAGACATCATCTATCAGAGGGACCAGGTAGGATGGAAAACCAGTGGGACTCCTTTGGTCTGTTCATACGCCCTAAGTATTAATCATCTACCCGAAGTTGAAGCTTGTGCAACAGCAAACTATTTGCTCATAGTTTATATAAGTTCAATTTAAGACTGTTTGAGACCATAATGAATGAAATGTAAGACTTATGTCAAGTAAAGTATGACAGATATGAAGCAATATCAGAGAGCCAGAATTACACTTTCTCACAATTGAAGATAGGGTTGAGTAGATGTAGAGAATAACCCTTAAGACGTCAAGTTATCTTTCAAACTACAGGCAGAGACTGTAGGTATCATAGTTATAATTCCATTTGGTCTTGTTTGTAGCTTTATTACAGTGTGCTAATATCTGTATTACTGAGAAAGACCTACAAAACAAAGAGACATTACAAACTATTAATGCCACCAAAACATTTCTCAAATGATCGCTGAACTACGGCTATTCTCATTATTAAAGTGCTATAGAAGTAGCAAAATTAACATTAATGTATTCAAGACCTACCTAAATGTGTCTATACGATATATAGTGCATAATGTTTTAACCTACTTAAGACTTTTTAAGCAAAACATTCAGATAAATAATTTTTAGACTATTTTAGAATTCTGTGTTGTCTAGTGTCTTGAGTCCTTGAGCCATGCTTTGTTTACTGTAACCTCAATAACGTCTGGCTCAGCTGCTGTGCTTCCTTAGGGTCTGCTTATGCTAGAAAATAACACATTTGTACATGTTGTCTGACCACATTGAAAAAAGCCACACTTCAAGGTAGACTAAAAAGGGGCGGTCATAGTAGACACACACAAAGCTGTAACTTATCAGACTCTGGCCATTGCTCTTAAACATCCGTCAATTACCTTGATATAGAATGAAGGGCGTTATAGACAAAATATCACTATACACAGAGGATATTATTTTGTATGTCTGAGACCCATTGAAAAATATTAAAAATATATGACTCAGTGGATGAACCTTAATCTTGTTAAAATGATCATGTTATCAAAACGTATTTCCCGATCCTGATTCATGGCTCCTGCAGTCAGGCACAGTTTGTTAATTCTTATTGACGTTTGAATGTACAGCTTTCGATAATAATTGTTTTCTTATCCATATCAAGATACTGCTGACATGTTGAATGACTTTCTTTGGATGGGGTCTAACATTATTTCCTCCTCAGGACACAATCGACAAGCTGCACCCTCTGCCAATGATTCTGAACCAGATAACAGAGTCGCTGGGGTCTGAAGCACCTCGGATCATAGTCAATAGGTATGGACAGACTTAAACAGGCCTACAACATGTGAGGAATTACCGATTTGAACATGGTTATGATACATTTACTGAAGCTTGCTCTTTCTTGCAGCCAAATGGGAAAAGCCAAGCCGGTGTATGTCCCCCCTAAAGACTTGGACAAGTACAGCCCCCACCAGTCATCCACCCAGCACCTCCCTTCGGACTCCAAAGGCCTACGAGAAGGGTATGATACCCCTGACGTTTTATTTTTGCTTTTGAATATCAATGGTCATAAAGCATTATTTGGACTGACCCACCAGCTATGTTTTATGGTAATAAATCTCTTTCTTTCTCTTTGGCAAAATGCCTCTGTCGCAGTATTAATAGATGACACTGACTGGAAGGAATCCTCCACTCAGTTAAAATACACAAATACAATCATGCACAATACAGATAGAGATAGTGACCAGCCACGTTTAGAACAGCTCTGGTTCCAGAAGTAAATTTCAATTAATTTTCTCTCTTAGCTATGAGATAAATCGAGACCATAAAACATTTGATTCACAGGAAAAACGTTTTTGGAGACAGAAAAAACCTCAACCCTAACCAGTCAGAGACATAGTGATTACACTTTCCAGATAGTGTAGTACTTCTTTGGGATTAACACACATACTTGAAATTTAGTTGATATACAGACTTGTGGCTTCTTTAGGAGAATATAATATTGTTTCACAATCTCATAGCTTGTGGTAAGTCTACCTTATTGGGTGGTTTAACCTGCTAACATGATCAGCAGATTTTCCAAATGCAATTTGATAAAAATAAAAAAAATTTTTAATACTGAATACCTTTGTTCTTGTATTCAAAAATGATGGTAGGACTCCGAGGAATGCAAGAGAGAGGAAGCCAGTCGCCAGAACTCAGAGTGCCCCTCACCGACGTCCCGGTCATGCAAAACATGTCTTGAAGAGGCAGACCAGTTCTGAAGCTCTGCCGATTTCTGAGCATGATCAGGAGCTGGAGGCTAACCAGCCACTTATCTCTTGCCCTAATACTGTGAGTACAAAGAGGAACTGTGAACCAAACTGCAGCGCCCAGCAGATCATGTGCTCAGATACTTTTTCTAGGAGGCTATATCGATATAAAATCAATAATATGTATATTTTTCATATTTATGTTAACACAGAGATAGTATAACTTTGCTTGTTTTATTAGATCATGTTGACAATCTCTCATTTTCTGTCAGAGTGCCAGTGTCAAACGTACACCCGCACCTGTTCCCTGGATCAAAAACAGCCACAACAAAGAATCAAGTGAGATAAAGGCTGGGAATGAGGAGTTAAACTTACTCGACAGGGTATGAATAACCTGCAACTCACTTTAACTGACCTTATGCTGGTTGTTCTTATATTGTATTATTTTATGACCACATTTCGTAAAATACCAATTTGTGATTGACACACCAGCACGATCAAGAGCTGTCAGAGCTTCGTCTGGGGATAGATCTGGTGACAGAGCGAGAGCTGGACATGGCAAAGCGCCTGGAGGACTTCATCAGCCAGAGCCAGGACCAGAATGCAATGCTGCAGGTCGAGTTGAAAGAGCTCCGGAATCTGTTGGTGGAACGAGAGGAGCAGCTTGCCAGCGCCACCTTCAGGTAACATTGAGTATACAACTGTAATGCGCATGCTCCATATGTCAGCATGAATTCAGTGCAAAATATATTATTTTATTTTGTCTGCATTTATGTGTGTATCAAGTACAATGGAAGTGTGGTGCTAAGGGGGTAGCAACACCCCCTATTGGCAAGGTGTGTAACTGCGAGGCAAAAAAGAAAGTTTACTTTGAAAGTTTTGTTTTTGTTTAAATTGTAGCATAGTAGCATTTTTATACCACGGTGCTGGCGACAGCTGATGGTTCACATGGTGGCCGAACAAAACATGTTTATGTGAGTCTGGGAAAAACATTCTAGTTTATAATATTTGATTTCATTTTGAAAACATTCAGTGTGTAGTTTATCTGCTATCACTCTGGTGTGTCTATGTGTATTCAGTCTGTGAATTGTTATTACTAATTAAGAGTAAACACTTTCATAACATATGTACCTGAAGTGTTTCAATTTTTGTTTAAATGCATCCCTTCTTCTGTCTCTGTGTGTCACAGGCTGGGTGTGATTGAGGAAGAAAGAGAGGAAGATGAGAGGAAGCTGAATGTCGCTGTTGCAGCCGCTGAGCGAATGAACGTACTGGTAAGAAAATAAGAGACAACCAATTATCAACAAGCAGGGATGAAGTGAAATTCATTACTACAGTTTTGTTAAAGGAGGAGTCCACCTCCCAACTCACATTTTATCAGTTCATCTTGAAGCTGACATTTTTGCAGCTTTAAGGTGAAGATCATTTGAATTGAAACATTAAACACAAAATTGAGGGCAAATAATTGTACATTTTGTCTCCCATGAAACATCAGTTTGGACAGTATGGAAGGTAATGACAAATAAATGTAGATTAACCGGCCTGTAGAGAGAAGGCTCTAAGTTTCAGTGACTTCCTGTAAATATTCTGGGAAGGCGACTTTCCTTCTGTCAAGACTATTCACCCATTCATTTAAAACTCAGAAATCAGTTTCCATCAGTTCATGTTGGGTTAGCCGCCCTGCAGCTTATTTACAACAGACGTACAGAGGCAGAGACCCCTTCATTGACAGTACACAGCAGTACAGTTGCTTATATAGTGTTTGCATGAGATGAATAAATCATATTGATGTCTGTTTTCTATGTGCTCACAGGAAGAACAGTTTGCAGGCATGGTCAGGAACCTTCAACAGCTCAGCGAGGCCTCTAACAGCGGCCAAAACAACATTCAGCATCCTGAAAAGCCACACATCAACAGCAACTGAACCCAGATAGCTTAGTTTCGCAGTTTTGTATAAATACATGCAGTATATAGAGTTCATGTAGAAAAGTCGCAATTTTGATTTCCTGATGAGATGTAAGTTTATTCTATAAAGATATTCAAAAAGGGTGTGAGTGGGCAAACTCTGACTAAGGATAAAATTAAACCTACTGAATTTCTCTGCATTTCAGCTTTTACTGTATGTAAGCTACAGCTGTTTGAGTTTTTCTGATAAATAAAAGAAATACAACCTGAAGTGTGTCTCTCTTTGCATTCTGCACTATGTCAAGTGCATCCGTGGTGGAAAATACACCACAGGCAAAAAAGTTTTATACCACCTAATTTTTTTAGCTTTTACGTAAATGTACATAATGCACAGTCCTAGTGTTGCTGAAATTAAAGAATAAAAATAAACAGTTGGAGATATTCTAAAAGGTTATCATTGAAATTTTTGCGTTGAAATGAATTTAATATTTTAGTTTCAGCTCATTAACCATCCAAACACCCCAAATCAAGTATTGGCAAATAAAATATTACTTCTTTACTATTAGTCCTAAAATTGTTTCAGAAGTTTCCATAAATATGTTAATTCAATATGCATAAACGTTTTAACTGGTATAGTGTGTTCAAAAACGTTTGGGGGGATTATTGTAAAACCAATTACGATGCAACAGAGTAGGCAAAGGAGGCTTTTGCCATGGGGGCCCAAGCAAAGCCCCATTATTCAAATGCAACTTTTTTGTTGTTTTTTACATTTGAAGCCCATTGACTTCAATTGCATTGGATTTGACTGCAACACTGTTTACACCTGCAACTCCAAAAGTGTCTTTATATACAGTCTATGGTGGCGACACACACACACACACGCGGCTGTACGCTGGCCTCGCAACAAACAATTCGCGTCCACACCTGCTGCGCGCACGCTACACCACCTCACCGGACCAGCAGTGGAGAGAGAGAGAGAGAGAGAGAGACAGCGACTACGGCGTCCTTAAATAACCTTCGCCGACTCCCCGCATCCTATAGGCATCGCCGTCCTGTCAGGTAAATTAGAGCTGTGTTTTTATATCTAAAATACCATAAGCATAACTGGGGAAATAACACCGCTAAAAATATCCTGTTTTAACTTAACCTTTTTATTAAGGATTGACCCCATTACACATGTGAGTAGACTGTATATAAAAGTGAGTAGATAATGGGGGATTTTTTATTTTTCTGTGAACTACCGCTTTAAAAGTGGCAGGCATGTTGGCTGATAGAGGCATCATCTCTGTTCCTCAAACATTTTGGAAGAAACCAACCAACCAGGAAAAGGGGTTAGCCACTTCTGCAGACATAATATCTGGTATAATTAGATCATTTATATATCATTTGACTCGTAATATAAAATATCTTTCAGGCGATGAATAATAGCAATGATAAAACCTTTTAATAATAATAAATAAGGTACTTCCCCCACACACAACCCAGAGTGAATGGGTGTGACTGCTCCATATTGCTGCTGCGTCATTGCGCTTGGCACCGCTGAAATCCACCGTCTCATTTCGCGCAGCTGGTTGGAAGCAACGTCAGTAGCTTGTTGTGGACTGTTTCTCCTGGACCCGCTGCACATCTGAGAAATAAAGGTAAAGACCATCGTGGGACATTCATTATAAATACACCGTGGCTCTGGACTCGCTGAGTTCCGTGTATTCGAATGTGTAAATAACTAATTGAACGCCGGTCTCGACGTCGCGCTGAATGTTTGTTGACATTGAACACTGTTGTTTGTAATAATGCACCGAGCTAAAAAGAAGCAGTCGTTACTCAGATTATATTTGAATTTGAGCGTCTTTACTTTCGTTTTCTCGCTCCTCAAGTTAAGTTTCGTTTCTCCCTGCAGCGGCTGTGGACTGTCGTCATGGCCGCGGTGGAGCAGTGTGACTTGTCTCTCATGAGTCTGGAGGATGAGCTGACCTGCAGCATCTGTCTCAGCCCCTTTGACTGTCCGGTGACCATCCCCTGCGGACACAACTTCTGCCAGAGCTGCCTGCTCTCCACCTGGACGGAGATCTACAGGTGTCCCCAGTGTCGGACCCTCTTCCCCACCAAACCCGAGCTGAAGAAAAACACGGTCCTCAGCACCGTGGTGGAGACCTTAAACCTGAGGTTGGTCCGGAGCGAGGTGGGCCTGCCAGCAGAGRAGAAAGAGACCGAGAAGGAGACCGAGAAAGAGGCCAATGAAGATGCAGTCATACGTTGTGACACTTGTATGGATGCAGAGGCGGCCCACACCTGCCTCACCTGCATGGCCTCTTTCTGCGAGGAGCACCTGCGTCCTCACCGGGAGAACCCGGTGTTCCGTCCCCACCAGCTGATTGAGCCAGTCGGGGACCTGTCGGAGCGCATCTGCCCGGACCACCACAAGCTGATGGAGCTCTTCTGCAGCCAGCACGTCCGCCCCATCTGCAGCCTCTGTCTCCAGCAAGTCCACAAAGGCTGCTCCTTCACTTCTCCTGAGGAGCAGAGGCAGCTCAAAGAGGTCTGCGTGTGTCTCACTGTCCCCGTGGGGAGTTTAAAGGACCACTCTACCTACCTTAATCCATCCTTCAACAGATTTGATATGTATAGCCCATATACACACACATTTTGATTCGATAAAGTTAAGCTTGTTGAGCTCACAAAATTGAAGGAAATCAGGTCAACTTGTTGCAAGTATCTGCCTCACTCAAAATTTCTCATATCGAATAATATTCTAGTCCCTTTTTAAAGCAAAACCCACATTCTGAAAATTGACAACTCAGTTAACACTATAAAGTTTGTGCTGAACCTAATAATCCATCAGTAGAAAGTGACACTTTGAACTGTATTTGTGGGTCAAATAAATATATAATGTTTTTCTGTTTGTAGTCGGACCTGAGGGACAAGTTGGCTTTCCTTGATGCAAAGATTTTGCACACTGAGACCATTACAGTTAAAATGAGGGACATGGAGGATATGTTGAAGGTAAGTTTGTTTTGAATTTTACTGGCCCCATATTTTACAAACAGTTACCTGTAAAAATTCATCCTTATTGTCCAAAAGAGTGGATAGTTACATTGTCTTTGTTTCTAAAGCAAATGCTGTCAGATTTTATTCAACTTGATTACCTTTTAAAGGGCTGTTAACAAATAATGTATGTTTGTTACCTTCAAAACTCCAGTATTTGTTTAACTATAGACTATATTTTATCTTGGTAAAATTCTTTGTTGACCAAACACCTCTGTTCAGCAAGTTTTTGCAAGTTAAATTTAGTAAGTTTGTTATACTTTGAATAAAAAAAGCTAACATTTCTTAACATTTCTCTGGAAAAATAAATATTCTGATTCTTTCATTCAATGTACTTTAAAAGAAATAAAAGAAGCATAAAAGGACAAAACAGAAGCTTAAAAAACGTTAAAAGTTGTAAAACATTACAAAAAAGAACCAATGATAAAGCAGATAATGTGTAATTTATGTACAGAGTTAGGTGATTTTGATTGGAAAATAGAGCTTTGTTTGACAACCTTTTTAAAGCAGGTCATGCTTGGGGCAGACTTGATAGCCATTGGGAGCTTGTTCCAGCAGGAGGCAGCATATTCCTCATGCAACATTCCCCTATTTAACTCTAGCTGACCAGCTCCTGCAGGTCTGAGACAGTATTTAATGTCTTTTGATTAAGACTTGTAGATTCAGACCTGTAGTTAACTGGAGGCCAGCGAACAGACCTGAACATTTGAGTAATATGCTCTCTTTTGTTTTATGCAGAACAATAGCAACAACAGTCTGAATCAGTTGCAGCTTTCTCGTGGTGGTTTTGGGAAGTGAGAAGAGCATTGCAATGTAAAGTCTGGAGCATAAAAAGGCATGATTACTCTATATGTCTGTTTAGCCACAAAAGCTCTAACCTTAGCTATGGTTTTGAGATGTCCAAATACAGATTTCATTTAAGCTTTTATGTGGTCACAGAAATTAAGATCTGTATTCAAAATAACAGATTGTTAGCATGGGTTAAAGTCTTAAATGCTCGAGACTCTATGTAGGCACCAAGTTGCAACCTTCTGTCTTGGTTCCCAAATGGAAGTATTTTTACTACTAAAAAGAGTAAGTATTGGAGTATTAAAGTTTCAGTAATGTGGTATTAACAAAAAACATTTGTGTTCAAGTAGTTATAGATCTGGCTTTTTTACCACTTTCTCCATAACCTTGTCTATGATTGTGAGATTTGAAATAGGCCTGTAAATATTAAGCGCAGAAGCGACCTGGTTTCTTCTCAGGAGTTATTGCATCTACAGTAATATAAATACTATAAACATGAGTTTGATGACTCTTCTCACATAAAGGGGCAATGTGTCGAAGCTAGAGGTGTATTTGCATGTTGCAGCTGAATACCCCTCACCTCACCCTCCCCTTCCAAACATGACAGAGAACCTGTGGTAGCCTTCAGTTGTCATCAAAACTCAAAAGATGGTCAGTTTGTCCAGTCTGGGCTACTGTAAAAAAACAAGAAAAAACATGGCGGCCTCCATAGAGAGGACCCGCTCCCAATGTAAATATTATATATATGTAAGTATTTATATACAGGGTTCATTCTATGGTAAAAAAAAACAACAACATTCAGATTATTTTATATTCAATTTCTGCCAATAGATCCCTTTCACCTAAATCTACACACTGAACCTTTTAATTAAAAATATGGAATATGCATTCCCCTCAATTTGTCTGACCACTGTTTTGACCTCCTTTCTTACTGATCTGTTCATGAATCCTATCTTGGTCCTCTCTAGGTCTCAGCAGCCAACAGGAAGAAAGCTTTGGCAGTCGAGTATCAACAGATGCACGACATGTTGACTCAAGAGGAGAACATTGCTCTGAATGCAGTGGATCGAGAGGTGGAGACTGGTGAAACCAAATTGAAAGTTCTCATGAAGAAGTTCACTGAGAACATCGAGAAAATGGGCATGGCTAAAGATTCTATCAACAGTCTGCTTAGTCGGTCGCAAACAATGGCCTTCTTGCAGGTGAGACGATCCACACAGCTGCATACCAGACAATGACAGTGAAAGCCAACATGATGCCCACACACTGCTATGTGTTACCTAGGGCTCCTGACCGTTTTTATTTATTATTCATTTCTTTTTTTTAAATTGTCATTGTATAGGCCATCACATGAAAAAACAGGAGTAAGCGTGAATTTGTATATGTGCTCCCAGACTCCTCAGACAGAGTGAGGTGGAGTTTACACACACGCATAAATTATTTGAAAATGATGACAATAATACCATTTATCACAAATTCCGAAAATAGTGACATATCAATATCTTGTGAATCTGAATCAAATTAAGTTGTGCAATCAGTGCCGATACCAAGCCCTAATCAGTACGTACTTAAAGTTACAAAAGTGCAGAGTAGCCAATTTCAGACTAATATATATGATGAGTCTGACCATAAACTGCCAGTTGTTGCTCCAGATAAAACAATAAAAGGAACCTTTCTTCTCCTCTAACACACTATCTGTACACATTATTTTTGGTGATGAGGACCGACGCCTGTTGATATGCTGTGAGCAAAAGCTTGTGATTTCTGCTGCAGAATAGATTCATGAAATCCTGCCTACTTCCTCTATCCTACTTCCTACTCACCTTAGATTCTTGTTATTGTGAATGCGACTGAATGGAAAATCTGCTGCATTCTTTAATGTGTAAAAGACAAACTCCATAGATAGTGGCAGACCCCATTGTACAGACATTTTGTCAAACAGCTGAAGGAAACCCTCAGTTTCATATATTGTTGCGTGTATGAATTCCAACCCAGGCCATTTTCCACACTATAAAATAATATAGCTTCATCTTGTCCAATTTGAAGAAAAGCTTGGACCATCAAAGAAAACCACATTGTGTTCTTCTTCTCACAGGTGTCATTTAACCTGCCTGCAGCTGTGAACTTTGACCCTTACACCCCTCGAATTAGCCTGGACTCCAAGAAGGTGATAGCCAGCGAGGCCTTTGCTGTGACCTTAAAGGAGCACCTGACCGAGCTGTTTAAACAGCCTGTTGAGGCCAGACTGCAAGTGATTAAACCAGGTACGTATGCAGTTGTATTTAGAAAGTAGACTGAACTCAGTTGTGTACAGCTTAGTTGCAGAAATTAACACTGACATTAATTTAATCGAAACAATCGTATTGTTTGTTAGATATTTATAATTTGACAGGTTCAGAAATGTGTCCATCTCCAATTTAATTTAGTCAACAACCGCTCATCCAACCAAAGTCAAAGTTGGTGGGTGTTTTACTGAGAACCCTGGGATGTGCAGTGACAATTTTTTTTTTTATCTACAAAAGCACAGTCACTAGTTCCTAAAATTGGACCAATTGTGTGGGGGTTGGATATCAGGGTAGCTGTTTAAAGCCATTTGGACACAAATAAAGTGAAAGACAGTCATATTGACACTGTTCTCACATAATTTCAGGTACTAGAACAGCTTCTGCCTCAGGGTTTTCATCTCTCCCCCTGGGACCTTTCAAGGAACCTGGCATGTTCATCTTCCCAGCACATATTCTATGATGGGTGTCAAGAGTTGTATGACACAAGACAACTGATGGTTCAAAAACAAAATGCACTTTCATTAAGCTCTTTCTCTTCTTCTGTTAGAGCCTCTAGGACGCCCCAAGTCCCCAAGTCAAGATCCAAGTTCACAGCCTAAAGCAGGCCCTAAGAAGAAGCCTTCAAGTAAGAAAAAGTTCTTTTAACTGACTGATAGATGAGATGAACTCAGAAACTAGTTCGTTAGCTACACCTACTAATTCGTACAAAGAAAATAAACATGTCCATGAAGGTTGTAATGCTTTTGTTTTGAAGTGTAATAGAGGGAAGTTAATTCAAGATGTCAAAACACAAATATTCTTATTTTTTTATTTTTTTACTTTAACCTTGACTGTTATTTTCTTCATGAATAATTGAAGCTAAAGTGGTCACCAACCTTTTCGAGCCCAAGATCAATTTTTAATTCTAAACATAAGCCGAGATCTAGCACCCTGATATCGTCCAAAAAACCCACTTAGGACGGTCATATTTATTATTTTTGCGATTTCTATTAAAGACTCCAGCGTTTTACTTTCTAAATCCATTAATTTGTTCTAATGGGGCTTGGATTGTTATGGACAGACCAGAAGATGCAGGTCTTTATACTGTATTGTCCTGACATTTACAGTTTAGTACATAATCCAACTCGAATTAAAGGAAATGCAGGTGATAAACTAGCAGCTCTGCTGCCGGTAGCAGTCTATCTGTGTGAACAACAGACATCTGACACACATCTGGTCTGCGGCGCAACCGCAGCCAGTGAGTCCAGAGACTTACAGGGATTGACAGTGAAGATCGATAGGTTGGTGACCACTGCCATAAACAAATACTCCACCTTTGAAACCCAAGTATTCAGAGCCATTAACAGCTCTGAAAATACATTCACCTGCACTAGAAGACAACTTTTTTTGTCTGCTTCAGAACAAACCAAAAAAGCTCAATCCACTGAAGATTTTACCCATTCGACTGAAAATCTGTCCGGGGAGTTTGGTGGGAAAGCCAAAGGACGTCCACAACCCAATCAGAAACCAGGTAGACACCCTCCACACTGAATAAAAACACATCAATAGTAGCATCTGGAGATGGCATCCGTATTTTCTTTAGTTTTTTTGCAAAAAAAAATTCTCCACCGACTTCCGTTGAGTTCTTATGAACTTTGAACTCATGATGGAAGTTGATGAAGGATCAAAATTAAAGCAGTAGAACTGGACATCATTTATTATCCTTGTGAAAAGCTGGTACTCACATTAACCACAATGCAACCCACTGCCAAGAAATCTGTCTTGAGATTTGAGTGTGTTATGCTACTAATAATGATAGTGGCTAAAATAACCTTGAGCCTCTAGCTTCAGAGATGAGAGTGTGAGGTCTGCTGATCTCACTTCTATCTGCACATCCTGATATACTGTATTTGTGGCTTCATGCAGAATTAGGCCCACCAACTTCAACATTTGGTAGATATATTCACTCGGACAGATTAGATTATGGTGGTCAAAGGTCAGTCACATATGAAAGAAGTCTAAGGCTATATCTATACTTCTACGTTACCTACTAACATGGCTGAAAACGCATATGGCAAATGTTCTGTATTTATATGGAACATTTTCTAGTTTTGATGACAACTCGAAAGGCTTTTCAGAAAAGTTGTACATTCATAGACGAAAAGACCCCTCGTCAAGACTAAATCGCAGCCGCAGGGTTTTCAAACTTCTCCATTTTAGCAACTCCAGTAGAGTGTATCTGTAGCAGAGTTGATGCATTTTCAAACGGAAATGTTTTGATTGTAACTTTGTAACTGCAAGGTGATTATTCTAAAACAACTGAATTTTTGTCTTCATCTGGTGTAGATACTTCAAGCATTCCTGCAAACCTTGCATGTGCAGAAAAAAGAACTGAGCTTCTGAAATGTAAGTTTATGAATGTAGTAGGTATCTTTCTGTCATTTGGCAGTAGCAACCTTATTTGATGGTTGAATGTTTTATTTTTTTCTTTCTTTTTAGATGCCGAGGCACTCATGCTGGATCCAAAGACCGCCCATAAACGCATCACGCTGAGTGAGGCATTTACTAAGGCCTCTGTGTCAGATGACCAAGCAAACTACCCCAACTGCCCTCAACGTTTTGTCGTCTGCTCCCAAGTACTCACCTCCAAGGGTTTCTTGGGAGGGCGCCACTACTGGGAAGTCCGACTGAGCTGCAACAACTTCATCGGCATAGGCTTGGCTTACAGCAGCATTGACCGTAAAGGTCCCGCCAGTCGCCTGGGCCGCAACGCCCAGTCCTGGTGTGTTGAGTGGTTTAACGTCAAGCTGTCTGCTTGGCATAACAGCCAGGAAACCGTGCTGAGCAATCCCAGTCCAAAGCGCGTAGGTGTGCTGTTAGATTGGGAGGGGGGCAGGGCTACATTCTACAATGTGGCAGACAGGGCATATCCCTTCTACTCATTTGAGTTCCCTTTTGCTGAAGCAGTGTATCCAGCTTTCTGGATGTTCTCCAGTGGTTCATCTATTTCTTTGTGCAAGATGCAGGCATGAGGAGCATATTGTCATATCATCACACACACACACACACACACACACACACACACACACACACACACACACACACACACACACACACACACACACACACACACACACACAGTCCCTTGATGTCACTGATAAATATGAATATTACAATAATTTCGTTAAAAGGTTTGTATATAAATGGGTTAGGGTTAGGGTTAGGGTTAGGGTTAATATTTATTGTATGTTAAAATAAATATTAGAGAAAGCAAATGTAAGAGGCCGACAAGCTTCAAAAGCGTCTGAACTTAAAAGTCGAACCATTGAGACATTGTATTCTTTGGGTGATTTTAAGGTTACAGGATGATTAGCTTCACTCTTACTACACACTGTGGTTAGCTCTGCTTCCAATGAAGGAAATACAGGAATATATGCTTGTGGTTACTCTACAAATATTAGTGTACAGAACTTGGAGTATCACAACTCAAGTGGATGTGTGGAGTCAATAGCATACCATAGCTGAAGTCATTAGCTGTTACCAAAAGCTACACCAGCTGAAGTTTTGGTTCTAAACTGGCAGAGTGTCTGTCTTTGTCGGGTTAAGATACATCAGATTGATTCAGTATAACTTGCATGTCCTGAGTCCCAGGTGACTAATGCACTTAAGTGTTTCCTACTAGTATAACAGAACACACAACTTACTGTGCACCTGCTGTACAGTGTGTTTGTGTCCTGTGTCAACAGTGCTGACTAGTTATTATACACTGTAGAGTGGTGATGAATAGAGAACTGAATTCATCACACATGTCAGTCCAGTGTTGTGGAATTAAGTCTGCAGGTGAAAGAAGTACCATAGTTTTGGACTGAGGCAATTTAAGTTATAGGTCTGGGTTTTATGACACTCTTTTTCCTATCAGTCGATATTTTGAGTCTTTTCTATTGACTGTAAGGATTCAGTTTGTGAAAATGACAAAGATCTATGTGGACTGCAAAATAGGAAATAATAATAAAGGTTAAATCTTGTCAGTAAAAATACTTACAAATCCTGCATGTTAGGTAATGTTTTTGCTGTGGCTTTCACTATCTTTGCTGACACTTTCAGCTTCTTCTGAAAGAGCACTCATGTATTGATTCTGTCAACTGAAAGCAGCACAGCATGTGTGTTAGACTCTATTTGTGAGCATGTCTTCCATAGGTCTTTCATGTGACTGGATAGAAAAGGCTGGTTCTGTGATGAGAACCAATGTACCCAAGCCATCTAAAGGCAGCATATCAAAGTGGTTGATTTTCATCTCTTTTTTTTTTTTTTTTTTTCATCGTACCCATTTAGTTAAAGTTAAGATGTGTTGTGGATATATTGTATGACCCAGCTCTATCTGCCCACCTCTTCAACTCTGACTTGTTTGGTTGATGAGACCAGAAGTCACATAGGCTCTGGTTTTATGTCCTGACAGTCTCTCTTTCCTGTGGGTTTCATTTGTTTTAATGGCAGGTTCCTTTCATTGGTGGAGTTTGATTTAAGAAATAATGAGAGAGGAGGGGATGTTCAGCAATGGTCCTTGTTCAGATTTAAACTTGGGATGTATACTCTATGGAAATAAAGTGCCAAACTGATTTGTGGTAGGCACATCAGAATGCTGTTGGCTTTTCTTTATGTGGCAGGGAGGTGGTAAGATGCTCAGGTTCACAGGGCTGACATGTTTGGGGGGTTTATTTAAAGGCTTCATCCATACTACTATGTTGTTTGAAAATGCCTCAACTCTGTTATGGATACATCTGGCTTCCACACTGCTCTAGTGTTAAAGCTGCCAAAACACAAGTTTGGAAATGTTGCTGGCCCTGTGTTAGTTTCAAAACTCCAGCATGGTGTTTTAATTTGGATGGGTGGAAGTGGAGACTCTCACAACCGCTTGCTGATCGGGGCTTTCGCGCATGATGTAGCCTTCGCTGATGTGTCGGTCTCCTATCACACAACCCCCTTCCATGAGAAATAACCAGCATCAGCTACCAATGTAGAATGCAACATTGATAATCAATTATAACTGTTGGTGACTGTTGTTGCTGCTAACAGCTGATGTGCAGTGAAATTCTCCAGTTCACAGTCGGACGTCTGCTTACATGCATCGGAGAGAAGTTGTTATTGAAGCAATTCCTGTGTAAACCTGCACATACATGCCAAGTGTACACGAGTGGTAATGTGATATGCGTTTACAGGCATGTTGGCATGGATGGAGAGTAAAACTGATGCTGGGGCCAAAACGCTTGTGGACAGAGATTGTTTTAGTTTGAAAAGTGCTGTGTTTAAACAAACATAGTATCATGGATGTAGACAAAGTTTACCCTGGCCGATTAAAAGTGTGTCCTGAAACACTGGTGACATTTAGTGGCTCGTTGTCTGATGTGTCACAAGTGTTTGGCCAGTGTGCACACAGATCACTTAAAATCAAAGCTCGTTCATCCTGTTGATGCTAAATGATGTGAAAGTACAAGTGGTATCAGCAGGAGACATCTACATACACAGCATTACTGCAGCACTTGAACAGTAAGGTTTGAACATGGTTCAGCCAAGTACTAACTTCTCTGCACTAAATAGGTACAGACGTTTGAATTGTCCAGAGTTAGTGAACTGATAAGTGAGCCAAGGTTCAGATATGATGGCCACTGTAATGAATCAGTCAGTTCACTGTTGGTCAATCGAAAAGATCTGTGAGGTATGGACCTTTATTTGTTGGGTCACCTGCCCACATTAAAGGCTCCATGACTCACTGTACTGTTTGCTGTAGCATGACTTCACAATGGTACAGATAGCCTTGACAACCTATGAAGAGCTTTACCACATTGTACTGAGTCCTCAACTCCTATTGTGTTGACACGTAGGACCAAGCTTAAACAACATAACATGGTTGTTGGGGCTCAGCAGAATCGAGGGGCTTATGTTTGCAGCGTGTGTTCCAGTGTACTGGACATGACTTTAAATAGCACACACTTTGAGTCGACACTGAATCAGCCTTTCTGTAATCCTTGTATGTTTAATTTCCCTGTGCTCGCTGTCTGTGAAACGGGTAAATGTTAAGTCCAGGTTCATTGACAACAAATCATATTTGTGCTGATTTGATTAAGTGGACCAACAGGAGTTGGATTAAATATAGTTATGTCTTAAAATGCAAAAATTGAATTGCATATTTACTTTTATTAAAATTTGTGTTACAAATGAATAAATGTTCTTTTCTCTCTAAGATAGTCTTTTCCTTTTTATTAAGTGATTTAAGGATCACTACAACATTTTAGGAAGTATGTTTTGCTCCTTATCTACAGTCAACATGAATGTTCAGTCAAAAAAATGTGATTCACCGAAATGATCAGTTTAAGTAGTGTGCAACAAAATATCTGAAATCGGGGCTCCTCGTGTGTAAACCTACCGTGGTTTATATAAAACCACCTGTACTGATGATAGAGAGGAGGAGTGGAGGAGACATGAGAATTTGAATGAACTGGAGCAGTGTCTGTTCTAAACCTGTCTGTTTGTAATGGACTGTTTGGCCTGTAGTGATGCTGGCTGCAGTTTTCCTTCTGAAACTGAAAAAGGGACCTGCAGTAATTGAGCTGCAGCATAAAGGCCAGCTGCAGGACTCTGAAGCTGCTGCACAGAGAGCTGTTAGCCTGTTTATTCAAAGTTCAGTGGAATTCAACTCAGAACACAACACCCAAAATTGGAGAATCAGTTGTTGCTGTTGTAGAGCCTGAGCCATCGCTGCGACAGAGTGCTGCATGTCTGTTTATTCAAAGTGTATGAATACTTTCCAACAGCAGGAAAGTAGACAACAGATACAACATCCAGGCCCCTCCTACACCATCTCCAAAGCCTCCTCCCCCCCTCCATTTACCACTCATACACCTCAGAGGAGGCAAGTAATCGCAGCAACCAGAAAAACAGGGTTTGGAGAAATGCCACCTGGCTTTTATTTGTGGTTTAGAAATAGAAGCGTTGGATTCTTCCGAATTGCATGAGTCACAAGCAGTAGGTTTCTATTAGTGTTATTTTTGTGAATGTTTTGACTGGACCCTTAAAGGGAAACTGAATATAAAATAAGTTTGTGTAATGACCTAAATTGTACAAATTGTTTTCTTTACCTTAGAATGAGCTCTTTATATTTAAATACTTTATCAGAATCAGAAGTACTTTATTAATACCCGTAGGGAAATTCAAACGTCACAGAGCTCCTGAGAAGAGGTTAAAGAGCAAAAGCAGGTATGAACATAGTGATAAAAAAGTCAGGTAAGACTAAAATGAAAATAAAAGATATACATATGTAGAAATAAAACCCAGGTATGTATAGATTTACATTTGTACATGAATGTAAGTTAAAGAATACACAGTATACATGTTTAAGCTTATTCACATGCAGGAATGATTTCCTGTGGCGTTCTGTCGAGCAGCGTGGGTGGATGAGTCTGCCACTGAACGAGCTGCAGAGGCTAATCAAGACATTATGGAGAGGGTGTGACGGAAAGTCCAATATTGTCCTTACTTTGGACAAAGTTCTCCTCTCCATCACCACATTGTCCCTGACAGCCGTGTTGGTTCAGTGTCTCTAACCCTGCGTTGTGTTGTGAGTGAGACAAAGACACACTCCAAGGTATTCAGTATCTCCCAACGATTTATCACAGCACCAGCATCTGGAAACGTGGAGACAACGTGTTCACAGTGTCTTTCATGTGAATACTGTATGTTCAACACCTCCTCAAGGAAAGGCTGAAGCAAAGAGGAAGTGACTCTCACGGAACCACGGTAAAGTTTTCAAAATAAAACGCCCGCACTACTTCCGGCAATACTCTGCTATTTTACCCCTTAAGAAGGCACATGCACTTAATATAATACGCAACCTCTTTGTTGACATAATTACGAAAGAACAAATTAACATGAATTCCACAATAGCTAAGGAACAAAACAGCTGTCACGAAGGAAGTGGCGATCCGCACTTTTCAAAATAAAAGTGTGTACTTCAACTCGTGTGGGAATTTCCTACAAACATGATCATAATATAATATATACTACAACATAATTGGCAGTGTGTGAGTGATGTCTGATAAAGTGCTGCGGAGGGTTGCTGTATGGATGCATGAATGTGTGATGGAAAAAGGGATTTGAGTGGTCATCAAGACTATAAAGAGTTCTATAAATACAGACCATTTCCCATTTCCTAGGGACTTAGACTCTAATACAACCACTACTACCCTACACCCTAACCTCTACCTTAACCTTAATCTAACCCTAAACTTGACACTGCTTCTTTTTCCCTATTGGACAATATGGGCTGGTCTTTAATCTGGAAGTGTTTGCGTAACAGACAGACACGCCTACACAGGTTTGGTCAGTAGCATAGACTGTGGTCAGTAGTCACAAGATATCCAATCTATGGTGCCTGCTGACTGCCTGACTACTGTGTACCTATGAGGTGGAGTGATCTGCATTAGCACTAAAGGTAAGTGAGAGTTCCAGGAATAGATATGTTAATGTCAATAACAAACTGTTCTTTTAAAACTTGGATAACTCACTGGATCGTTTTTGAAGATACAGTATTAATGGACACCTGAATTATTACGTGTGCCTTTTTTAATAATGCGAAATTGGGGATTTTACGGGATGTTGTTGTGAAATCTTGCTGCTCATTTATCAGATTTCTAATGCTAATTATAATCTGTAATAATTACACGACGGTTCTCCATGATGTGGACAGTAAAGTGTTCCCTACTACCGGGGAAAAATATCATGAGACGATTACGTTGCCTTGTGTGGATCAGTAACAAGAATTACTGCGTTTATGTGAGCATATAAAAAGGGCGTGGTGTTGATTCTAAACACACTCATAAGTTTCGTTTCTCCCTGCAGCGGCTGTGGACTGTCGTCATGGCCGCGGTGGAGCAGTGTGACTTGTCTCTCATGAGTCTGGAGGATGAGCTGACCTGCAGCATCTGTCTCAGCCCCTTTGACTGTCCGGTGACCATCCCCTGCGGACACAACTTCTGCCAGAGCTGCCTGCTCTCCACCTGGACGGAGATCTACAGGTGTCCCCAGTGTCGGACCCTCTTCCCCACCAAACCCGAGCTGAAGAAAAACACGGTCCTCAGCACCGTGGTGGAGACCTTAAACCTGAGGTTGGTCCGGAGCGAGGTGGGCCTGCCAGCAGAGGAGAAAGAGACCGAGAAGGAGACCGAGAAAGAGGCCAATGAAGATGCAGTCATACGTTGTGACACTTGTATGGATGCAGAGGCGGCCCACACCTGCCTCACCTGCATGGCCTCTTTCTGCGAGGAGCACCTGCGTCCTCACCGGGAGAACCCGGTGTTCCGTCCCCACCAGCTGATTGAGCCAGTCGGGGACCTGTCGGAGCGCTTCTGCCCGGACCACCACAAGCTGATGGAGCTCTTCTGCAGCCAGCACGTCCGCCCCATCTGCAGCCTCTGTCTCCAGAAAGACCACAAAGGCTGCTCCTTCACTTCTCCTGAGGAGCAGAGGCAGCTCAAAGAGGTCTGCGTGTGTCTCACCTTGTCACTCAGAGTCTGGGGGGGGGGGGGGCACAATTTAAACAGGGTCTAATTATCCGTCCAACATCAGTGCACAATTCCTGATCCAGTAAGATGCATATTTAATTTCTTCTTTGTTTATTGTAAGCTCTATAGCTTTGATTGAAGCCACACATCATTTTGAAAATTGTTCCTTCTTCGAGCAAATGTGTTCTTCAGAAGAGCACTTTAAAAAGACTATTGACAGGACAGGTGCACTTAAGGAGCCAGTCAGATTTCACCACGGGGCCAGTGGCCCTGAGTCTGACGAACACTTGGCTCTGTTCACTTACCAGATAGAGCGTGTTAATTATTAAACTTAGTAGATGCTGCCTGCTGAAATTTGGAGTTGAATCAGACTCATGATGTGCTTTGCTTTCTCCTCATTGATACAGTGAAAAGCTACATTTAAGAATGTATACAGTCAGAGCAGTGTTGAATTACAATCTCTGTCACTGTCAGATTTGATTTTACAGGATAGTTAGAAATCAAGTCATTTCGTGCTCCAAATTTGCTCCTTTTAATTTGGAAAAACTCTACATTACACTCCACAAATGGTTGATTATGAAGTTGGTTATTTTTAAATCATATGTATCAATTATATTATTTAACCTAAAATCAAAATGAATAAAATAAATTCCTCACATTTTAGAAAGTTTCATTCATAAGGGACACAACTAACATATTTTCTACTTAACGTGTTAATAATTTCCAGAATACACTCCTAATTTAGGGGTGGCTGGTTTGACCATAAGGGTTCAAATACAGATATTCACTATTTCGGTTTTTTATGTTATTTCCAAATTTCAAACTAGTGCATAAAGGTGTCTACCAGCTCAAACTAATCTATATGTTAAGGAAATGAGTAACTAACAACTAGAACATTAAAATCTAAACTCAACACTAGAATGGCACTCAGTAGAGGGCATACCTCCACCAAGGCCCAAGAGTCCAATGTGCCTGATGTTTTTCATCAATTCTAGATCCATGAATTATTCCCTGAGAAAATGGTGAAATGTTAAAAAAAACAACCCCTATCTTGCAATGTTAAAGAGAGTGAATTGTAAATCCTGGATCTTCCCCCTATTCCGGATCCACACCAGAATTTAACGAGTTCTTTCCTGACCCATACCACATCCTTCCACTACGTTTTGTGATAATCTTTTATTGTTTTTGTGTAATCTTGCTTACAAACCAAACCAACCAACCAACAGACGGAGTCGGACAGGGGTACATGGACAATACAAGAGAGAAATCAGTTCCTTATCTTTGAGTCATTCAGGATTATAATACTAAACAATTACGTCACTATTCATTTATTCAAATTGTATTATCCATAGTTACCCACATAATCATTAGCATATCTAATGCTACCCTGAACAGGATCTTTAAATCTTCAGCATTGTTTATTTACATAGAAGGACTCTACCTGAAAGGTTTTATTTCTGTCTCTGCAGTCTGAACTCATGGACAAGTTGGGTTTGCTGGACGGGAAGATCAAGACAACTGAGACAGTTTTGTCTCAGACGAACAAAATGCACAGCAAGCTGAAGGTAATTTTTACTCACTACCTCACCGAGAGGAAACAAATGAGTTATTTGTTTCAAATGGAAAAATGGTGATGATGTCCAGAGATTTTTACCTTCCTGATACTGAGTTCTGTTCCGATACCAGTGCATTACATAAAACTATCAAAACTTATAGAACACATTTTAACAGCTGACTGCTATTCACCCTGTATGGAAGTGATGCTGTCATTGTTGGCTTGGCTCAGGTTAAAACCTTTGAACAACAATACAGAGAAGGAATGCCATAGAACCTTATTTGTATCTAGTTAGTCAAAACTGAGAAAGAACAGATAAATAAAAGAAATCAAGCAATACACATTTACACCAAATGTGATGAGAATTTGTCATGTGTTGTGATTACATACAAAATCAATGCAAAGATGCGATTAGACATGAGTATCAAATATCTTGCGTATCGTATCATTCATGTCCAACACTGGAGTCGAAATATTTGAACTTTCATGTCGCTGAGACCTGTGAGAGCTGAGAATGAAACTAACCGGACTCAGTCCTGGCACTGACCCGAGTTAAAGGGTGATCAAACCGGTCACTGGTCAGCCTCAGGTAGCGCTGGAAACAACATTCATTCAAGTGATGCGGTTTGCACGATTAACGCAAATAAACACAAAGGATCCCGCAGTGTGAATCACGCAGGGCGTTTATTAAACTTGCGTCGCATTCGATTTCATCGCAGTATAATCATGCATGTGTTACACGTCACCGTAGTGAAGAAGTGATTTCTGGGAAAAGAAACTTGCAGCTTTATCTGGGTGTAACTAATACACTCTAAAGACTTGGTATTGGATCAGAACAGATCTGTGTACTCCCTGATGTCTGATGTGGTATTTTTGTCTGTATCAGAGGCATTGTTATCCCCAATAATGTCAGTTTGTCTTTCCATCTGTTTGCTTGTCTCTGTTTCCTTGCCCAAGAATGCTGCAGCCAAAAAAAGGAAGGCATTGACAGCTGTGTATCAGCAGATGCGGGAAATGTTGGAACAAGAGGAATGCAAGGCCCAAAATGAGGTGGAGCGCGAGCTGGAGATTGGTCAGGCAAAACTAGAGGATTTCATGAAGAAGTTAACTGACAACGCTGCACAGATGAAAAAAGCCAAAGAAGATTTCAGCTGTCAGCTGAGTCGCTCCCAAACCCTGAAATTTCTGCAGGTGACATAATAAACTTCACTATTTACTTTTCATCAGCACATCAGTAAATTGAGAAAGTTGAAATGAATTGTTCATTGTAGCTATAATTTGAACTGGTTTGATTTTGACCCCCCAGTGGTGCCATCAAAAAGAAGAGCAGGGCATGCTGTTCACACCTGCCACAGTCATGTTGTGCACAACTTGATTACCTTTCTCCTCTTAGGCTTCATTTGACTTGCCAAAGGTTGTAAAGTTTGAGCCTCATGAGCCTCGAGTCAGCCTGGACTCCAGGAAGGTGACTTTAACTCAGACCTTCGCTGGAGCATTGAAGTTTCATCTGACAGAGATCCTCAAACAGCCTGTTGAGGCCAGACTACCAATCATTAAACCAGGTGAGGGAAAAGAGAAAAGTTACACTTTCAGTGGGACATTTTATACTTGGAGGTTCATTGTGAAAGTACAAATAATATTATAAAAATAATGAATCGAATTATTTCCCAGTATTGCTGCATGTGGGTGACTTAGTGCCATGTGGTTAATATGGACATCAATTCAAAGGTTATACACACTGTCCCCAGCCAGAATTCTGATATCTCCATCTCTGAACTGTAGAAAGAAATCTAAATTCAAATTTGTATGCAGAGGAGGTTATGAAATCACAGGAAAAATGTGTCTTATCATGTACAGCACTTAAACATTAAAGAGAATGTCTTTGCTATTTAAAAAGCAGCTATACACCATAACTGTGACCACTAAAGCTCGGGGGCATCATGTCCTGTAGTGTAAAAAACGACTGTTTTGTTTCAGTTCGACCAGAGCCTCCCAGGCCCCACACCCCCATATTCCCGTCATATCCTGTACCTCGCTATAACTACATGGGCTCACCCTCAGGCTGGAGTTCACCCCAGTATGGACATGGCATGTCAACAGGCTATAACTGGGCTCCGCAAAATCAACATCAAAAGACAAGTAAGTCAGATAAAAACGTGCAATTATACACCCAATACAGAACCTGGTGGGAGGATGTGCTGTGGGTCAGGGAAGAACCCATTCAATTCAACATTTTCCTCAATAATAATTAATTGATCTTGATCTAAAACAAAATCTGACATGGGGGGACCACTGATATTTATAAGAGCTTCCAATTTGGTGCAGATCCACATCAAAATCTAGATGTAGTAAATTTAAAAGTGGTTTCATAATGGGACTGGGGACAAGGACTGTTGGGCCTTGGCCGAGGTACTCCACTGAGTGCCATTCTAGTTTTGTGGTCATGCACCCTTATCCTCTATTATACACATCTCTCATTGATGTAACCACATCTTAACTACATGTGGAATCCATCACCTGACAGTATTTGTCACTGGTTTGCAGTTTGTGGGGCTTAGTTGGAAAAAAAGATGACTCTTCGTTAACTGATCATTTTAGTAACTGAATCGAGGTGTGCTGACAGGTGACAAATCCGATGAAGCCACACCCACACCGTCTTTGTGACTGTTTTTAAACTTTAAAGGGGAAGAGGGGAGCTTAACAAAAATCTGTTGTCCTATCTGCTGAAATATGATGATCTGACAGTACATGAGGTGGATAATATTAGAAAGGATCTTACACCTACAGCTTGTAATGCAATTTTGAAGAATTCAATGCTCCCTGGTCTAAACCACCAATCAGAGCCAGGATGAGTTTGAGGAGTGTCAATGACTGCTAGGGCACAAATTCTCATGTTCTTTTTATCTATTTTCAAATACCTGACAACTGCTGCTTTGTCATTTATTGTTGCATGGTTTTTTTTATGAATAAATGAAGCTATACAGAAATACTCTAGCTGTAAGACAAACTTTGCTTTTTTTCTCCTTCAGACCGAACCAGAAAACCTCGAAACACGACAGGAAAAAGGATGCAAGCCCATTCCATGGAAAACCTGTTGGAGTTGGATTTTTCGGCTGCACCTCAACCCAGTGAGAAACCAGGTAGACACCAACTACACTGAAAAAATAACAGGAGGGTACAATTTACTCTTAACTTCTTGCTTGTTATCCTGATACATTCAACTAGTGTCAGTTTGCTTAATTAACTCACACAGTTTAAATCTTGACTGAATACATTAAAGCAAACAATACAATTATTGAAACAGTTTGCACAGTCCATTGGCCGAGGGTTAGTTGGTATACTTGCCTTTAGATTTCAGTTTACAAAACCTCTGCTGCCTGGTGGAGTCCAGATGCTGCTGTTGTCTGTGCCAAGAGCCTGGATCTGCAGAGTCTGCATTTATAGTGTTTACATTACGACTTATAGACGAGATGCAGCGTTCATTTGCCAAGATTCGAGAACACAACCAACACAACTTTGTCGCTCTCAGTATCACAAAGCTGTTTTAAGGAGCTTCCCAGAGATATTTTGTCTTTCCTTTTTTATTTTAACTAAGGTGGGCTCACATGACCACACTGTAAAATGTAGCAAATGCATCAGGTTTATGTGTAATCTGAGGAGGTTGTTTGGCCCAGGTGTACCAAGATGCCTCGCTAGCGCCCCCTAGATATTTCAGTGACGTAGCCCTTGCTTGATTTAAAAATTTGAGTTTTTGCTTAATGGTGTCCTGAGAACGAACATAGATCTCTGAATGTGGTCTGGTGTAATCAGATCGAACACACTCTCTGTCCACTTGTGGAAAGGAGAGAGTAAGGATGGAGCTCTAGTCTTGGGCACAAGTACATTTACTGTATGTTCACTGACAATGTATCAATCAACCCCACCACAGAATGTTTTCTGACATTGTTACCTAGCTGATCTTGTTCTCTTTCCATCAGTTGCCGCTCTAGTTGAAATGTAGCACAGCATCTTGTTCTCCATTTACAAAGCAGTACTATTTCAGGAAGTAGACCCCATGTCCAACACGTACATGTGCATGATCCATACACACAGTAGAACGGTCTGCTCATCAAGAATCCAAAGATCATAAACAACACCTGCACCACCCCGACATCGGACGTCAAAGCTGCAAGCAGCTTAAAAATACCTTTATATTCTTTAGAAAACTTTCTATGGAGAATTGATTTCACAAATGTTATCTTTTAATCATGCACATTAATCAGCTGTCACTGATATACAGTACAATCAAATATGGAATTAACCCTGCCATACTAAAATCTGGACAGTGAGTATTTAGGGTTGCTTTAATTTTTTTTGGTTTATTTCAGTTTTTGTGTTGGTGCTAGAATTAAACTTTAGAATTAGATTTACTTTTAGTGAAAACATTTCTTGAACACTCGAATCTGGTGAGATTGATTTGATCTGCAAACTACAAAAGTATTTGTACATTTTTCTTCAGATGAAGACAAAAACCAACCCGGATCTGCAGATGGAAACAAGCCAGACCTGATCTGATTTCACCGAGAAGGATGATCCCGACAGCAATCCCCCTTCTGAGAAATCAACTACACGCCATGGACAGTCTAACTAGATGCAGCAGCAGATGTATTTGCTTCTGCAGTCGTAGTACTCACATCTCACGTTCCCTCGCTGTAGCATAGAAATGTGGAAATTACTCACTGATTCAGACAACAGGGATTGATACTGATGTAATGCTTAAACCAGGGGTTGTCAACCTTTTTCACTTTAAGGCCCACCTTTTCATACATGTAGTTATCCAGGGCCCATTAACACATATATACCTTATTATTTTTGGCTAATTGATTCTAGTCTTTGTTATATCTTAATTGTAGTAAATATGTACATCAAAGCCACTCCCTGTTTTACAGAAAAAAAGCCATCAAACACAGTTCTTTAAAAATGAAATGGGTGTGACAGAAGCCAAAAAAACAATATCTCTGCCCAGAGGGATTTATTGTACAAAAGTGTATGTAAACCTGCAACACACAACATCCTATATTCATATGAACTGACAGTATCTGATGAAGTACAACCCAACAGTATGATTCATTAGCCACAGCAAACAAGGACCAAGCAGCTGGTTTTCAATGCACAGTTTGGAGTTTGAAATCAAAGAGATCATAGACCTTTTCTGTGTTTGGAGTCCATTTCCTTTGGAAGAAGCCGACTGGCTTCCCGGCAGGGTGAGTTGGGTGTCTGGTCTCAAGATGCCGCTTTAGCTTGGAAGGCTTCAGCGCCTCGTGTGAAATCACATCCGGGCTGTACCTGGGAGGTTTTCTGGTGTTAGTAGCGTTGGGTTAAGTCGAACTTTTCCATCACTCCAAACACTATTAAGTAGCGATTAGCTGTTAGCATTAGCTCACCTGTGCACTGGGCGTCTCAAGCTGATGACGTATGCGACCGTCGCGGCCCACGAGTATCAAATAAAAAAACATTTCACGGCCCTGTAGAGGGCGCTCAAGGCCCACACATGGTTGAGAACGTGTGGTTTAAACAAAGTGCTCTATAAGCTTTACTTCACATAATGGAGAGAGATGATTGTTGTGTGGGAACATGGTGTATTTATTTAATTCATTCATGATGATTGATATAGTGTGGTAGTTGAAATCAAAGTCCAATTTGCAGCTTTTTGGATCTAATTGTTTCTTACTTTAACAAACCACACAGTATAGTCACTATACTGTTTGCTATTCTAGTTTGTATACTACTACACTATAGTGTACCTCCACCAAGGCCCAACAGTCCCCAAGCTGCACCAAATATCACACTTATACAAATCAGTTTCCTAAATGTATAAGATATTTTTCCATCAAGATGCATGAATCATGAGTTGACCGACAAGATGTGGAGGGAGGGGATGGAGAGGATCCGTTAGGGCTCAATTAATGCCAGGCTGCAGTTAATTCAATTTAAAGTCATGCCTAGATACATTATTCCAAAGAAAACATGTCTATAATGTATCCTAATGTATCTGATGTATGTGACAGATGTAAATCTTCTACGACACACCTTTTGGTCTTGTCCTAAGATTGTTCCCTCTTGGCAGCATATTTTTAAATAGTATTCTAAAATACTATTGAACCTGACGCAGTGGTTGTTTGTCTGCTCTGTAGCTTCTCCTGCACTGCCACATACTGTGCAACAGACCCTCATGTTTGGTACGTTAGCTGCAAAGAGAATAATACTCAGCGAATGGAAAGCTACCAGTGATCCTTGTTTCTCTAATGGAACTGGTTTCAGGGATACATCTTGAGAGGCTTCGGAACACAGCGAAAAGGTTTTCATGAAAGATCTGAGAGCACTGGGGGACCAATTTATAGGCACCTTAAGTTTCCCCAAGGACACCCCAAATTTTGCATGATACCCATTCATACCCATTCTCACTATTCCTCGCCATATGCTTTATTTTTTATTTACTGAATGATTAATTAGTATACGCTGTAATGCTGTAGAATAGATCATCTCTGTAAAGTCTTTTTTTTCTGTGTGAAGTTAAATATACATATAGTGTTAGAGGTTGAGTAGCATATTCTAACAATGTGATGGCTTTAAATCTGATTTAATGAAAACACAGACACACATGGCTTATATATGAAAATATTTATGGGAATGTCTTCAAACTCAAAAGACTGCTTCATTACATTCAGTTCAAAATCTGTGATTGAGCAAATTCAGTAAACGCTCTTATACCATCTTTGTAAACATCTATGATTTACATGATTGTTAGCAATAAAAGCGTCTCATTTCCCAGACACTGTCTCTGGACTTTCATTTGTGTTTAGTAGAGGTCACGTTACTCTTCATGAGGCCATGTCATAGAACACATGAAATCATGAAATGTTTTCTACACATTCTCATCAGCCTGTAGATTCTCTTATTTTAGATATTTAACAGTAACAAAGTAAACATTCAAATATATTAAAGGTTCGTTGAGCAGGATTTAGTGGCATCTATTGGTGAGGGCATAGGCAACAATTTTTTTACACTTCAGAAAACATAGTTGTTAATGTCATATTTCATTTCTGCTAATAGATCCCCCTAAATCATACACAAAGTTTTTAATAATAATGAACACATGTTGATATATGCACAACCAAGTAAAATGTGAGTATAAACTGAATTTTGAATGCAGAAGCCCACAGAGTTTTGCCAAATTGAGTCTACAAAAATAGAAAATGTTATCTGCCAATAAGGTTTAACAAATAATATCAAACAGACAGTTATTAGCCACACTAGCAACCATTGTCGTCATTACGGATCAGAAAACACATTTGTTGGATGGTGCTGTTGATGTAGCTGCTATAAATTCTGCCAGTGCCAGGGAGGCCATGTTATTACTTAAAGCATGTACAGCGGTAACAGCTGGAAACAAAGATTATAAAGAGTAGTGAGATTTAACCAAAGCAGCTAAGTTGTGGGAAAGATAATAAAGCTCTCTGTAAATCTGAGGGAACTGCAAAGTTAGGGATAATTCTATCCAGGTTAATAACCATTACAACCCACTTCACATTACAAACAAACAAATTATTTGAGCAATTTTAAGCTGTACATTATGAACCACTGTATTTGGGCCCAACTCTGATTTGAGCTGAAAGCTGGACAGTTAGCGTGTTGCTGTCATGTGACATGTGCAAAGTAAGGATGTACTACGCTAATATTTTGCATTGTTAGTATGCTATCTAGCATCAGTGTCACACTACAGCTGACACTGAGAAAATTTGAGGATCGTGAACCTAAGAGTTTGAAAAGCAAAACTAATTCTCAGGATCAACAACACCAAAAGGATTCAATTTCCAAGGACCACCATTATCTATACTTACATGCAGATTGTTTGCATTTGAGTATAAATATTGGTGCTTACACGTGGTTCTGCAGTTATTGAGATATTTCACTCTAAAACAGTGTTTTCAGTTCGAGCCATGCTGCTGGTGTGGCTAATAACCTGCCAACAAACCTCAGTTACATTTAAGCAAATTCAATTCAACATAACACATCACAAACACATCTGGTAAACATGGATGATCAGGTAAGAGGTGAAACTGGTGTCTGTGAGCGAGAAGACATTCACCAAACAAACTGAGGGTGATGACACCGGGACTTGGTTACCTGTTTAAGAGGTGCATATTCTAAAAGCATAGGCATCACGCGGCTAATAACTGATCCCTGTTCAGCCTAATGAGCAGCAGGTTGGCTCCAGGTTCCTCAGAAACACAAACCAACATTACACTGAAACATTCCTCATATGGCTGTGAGCAACAGGCATTCTGCAAAACACAGGATCACCTTGAATGGCAAAATTATTTTCCTTACAGGACGGCTGTTTTACAAACCGAAACACATTATGTGGAATACAGGACAAATGCAAACAATAAAACTTAACAAGTAGAGCTTTGTCATACGAACAACACAGAGAAGTAAAACAAGTAGGGCTGCACAATATGACTTGCAATAAATAAACAAATGCATGTTTAAGTCTTTCTGCTTTGTGTTCGCTGCTGACACAGACCTCATAAAGTGAGTAGCCTATGCAGACACTGAAAAAGATTCAAAGCATTAATATTACCATACCGTAGCCTGGCCACAGCCATGCACAGCACCACTAAGTCCACTTACAGGGATGATCCCTGTCTTTTCATACATATTTGGACCATAAAAAACATTTTTTACCAGCTCTGTCAGTGATTTACTGACCCTCCCTCTGCTCACAGTTCAAGCAGTCTTTTGCGATACGCATATCGCGCATGTTGATATTGCGATGACAGTAAATTTGAGATATATTGTGCAGCCCTACAAACAGCATAATAATAGTGAAGTGTCAAGGTTTGATTCTAAGACTCAACTCTACTCCACCGCTCTACAAAAAATGCTGAAACAATCCACTACCTTGTGGTGACTATTCTGTAAAACACAAATAACGAAATACAAGAGTGCGACTTGGATAATGTAAGACAACATGACACAGCATAATCTCATCAGCAGTTATCACTATCGGCAGCAACATAAGGTCAGCAGTATGGTTTTGTGTATGTGCCTACGTTCTAAGCAGTGTAAAGTCAGTGCAAAAACATAAAATACAGTTTGTCAACAGGCGGAGAAGCTTTTACATGGAGGCTAAGAGGATCCTCTGAACAGTAGTTACTTGGCAGTACTTTCAAATTAAACCCCAACAAGGGCCTGTTTGCTGTGGCTCTTACAGGAAAGCGAGATATAGTTTGAAAACTGAAGTGTAATCCAGCAGTTTGGTGAGAGCTACTTGAGACAGTGCATCATGAAGTAAACAAACTAAGGTGGATGTCCAGTGATTGACCCATTACGGGTGGAACAGAGCCATTGCTCCAGATTTAAAAAACGTTTTATCCTGCAGACACATTTCAAAGCCTTACCCTAGGTGGCAAATGCAGGAGACACTAAAAAAACATTGACCATCTGTAGAATTTAACAGAAGTTTTGTGAAGTTTAATCTCATCACCCACTGGAACACTGATCATGTGCATGTAGAATATCTGTGTGTTGTTTGTGCTTATTTGTGTAACAAATTATGATTAATGTACAATAACTTGCATGTAGGCTAACTCCAGCAAAACCTCCACGTAACAGTACTGCTGTTTACCATCACCTGCTGATGAATTCCACATGGCTTTGAGGGGGATTTGTCAATTCAACCTGGATAAGTTGTTAAAAACGGCTCACTGATACCTGCAGTACTGCACTGGGCATTCAATGGTAAATACTGTATAATAAATAGAGTATAGCTGACTATACATATCTATGGCACAAGGGATCAGTGCAAATAAATGGCAATATTACTCCGTAACATTCACCTCCTCCTGACTGCCCCTGTGGAGAGGAACTGCCTGAGCTCTGGGTTATAGGATAAGTGGAGTGTGGATGGAAAAGACTGGAAAACCACTCACACAGGCCCATGTACAAACAAATCTTTCTAAACCCTGCAATCTCTCTGAAAAGATCTGAAATGACGACACAGGAAACTTACAACATCTATTCTCATCAACATGACTTGAGGATAAAGCTTTTAAGATCTTAGAGGGGGACAAGTAAGTGCCCTTGGAGAAGATGGATTAATAGAAACTGGGCTGAAGACAGAAGACAAAAACTTAAAATAAGAAGAGCTTCAGATCACGTGATGTTCGGTGTGGGTCATGCACGAGCGGAGGCTGGCCCCGGAGGCCGGGGCGAGTCGTGAGGGGTGGGGCTCTCTGCCTCGGAGGAGCTAGATTCGTCGTCGTCATCGTCCGTCTGCTCGCCGCTGTGATACAGCATGAGAGCTTGGGTCTTATGGGTGATGGTGATGGTGCAGGGGCCCTGGGCCCATGGCTCTCCATCCACCTGCATGGGCATCTTGGAGCTCTTGAGAACCAGCTAAAGAGGTAAGACACACAGTATACCACATCATTACGTGTTTGGAGTGTGAAGATTGTGTCATTGCTCAACAGTCCTCTGAAATAACCATTAGGTATTAAATAACAGCAGAAATCATTCAAACACCAGATAAACCATACCATGAACAGCTGTTTAATGTGTCCTTCTACTGTAACAAGTGCATTTCCCCAGTGTGGGATCAATTACAATTTTAGGAATAACTTTAAAAGACTTTAAAATCGTCATGACAGATAAACCAGGTAGGATGAACACAAGGTTTTGTAACTTCACTCTGCACCATATACTGTTTATAAAAAGCTCTGCACACAAGGTCCAGCAAACGAACAATAAGAAGTGACAGTATATTATAGAACTGTATATTTTAGAATGACTCACTGATGACATGGAATCATTCTGAAGTAGCTCTAGAGAATTAACACAGGACTGATACAAATCTATTTGATAAAATAGAACAAATGGTTCAAAAGTGTTTTAATTCACAAACTGCTGCCCTGGATTTTGCCTCTCAGCACTGGGCTAAAATTAAACACAAAATCCTCCCCTCTAATTATGTTTGAGACATTTGTCATGGTAATGACTCCTGAAACTGACCTTCATCAAGGCAGTGTGCTGTTTATACAAGAAAGAACTGTCTGACGTTGTTTGGTGTCTATCAATGAATCTAACTGAGACAGAATATTCAGAGGGTTTTAGGTCATAAGTAATAGAGTCATTTACATGACATTTCTAATTCCATTAGTATTAAAGGCTTGAAGAGCATTTTTTCTCATCTGATATAATTATCAATGTGAAACAGTTCTCTCACTTTATGTTCCCCACTTGTGACATCAATCTTTCCCAGTGTAAAGTATTGAAATACCAGTAAAATTACTTCCTCTATCCTCTCCTTGTTATACTCACTGTGGTTGTTACAGTCACACTCACGTGGCAGTGACAACCATCCTCTCCTTAAACACGGTCATCATATTTACAGTGGTAATAATAAATGGCAGCAGTAATCTCTCACTTATAATTGTTTTAACTGCACTTTTTAGTGCGTGAGGATGGACTTTTACCAACAGAGCTCATGTGACATAAAGAGTTTAGATCGGTGTCAAACCAAGCAAAGACTATGAGCCCGTGCAGGAGCTCAGTAGTATACACTTAATCAGATTAGTCCAAATTAGATTCCCAAGTGCTGTGAGGAAGCAGATGGCAGTGAAAACCAATTTGACACCACCATTGTCTTCCTCCATACCCACTAAACAGGAAATACTGCAGCCAGCGGTGTGTGTGTGTGTGTGTGTGTGTGTGTGTGTGTGTGCGCGTATTGTTGCCTTACCCTGACAGTGTGGGCTTGTCCCAGCCGCACAGGGTTGGCCAGCTTGACCTGGATCTGAGCACAGTGGAAGGAGCCAAACACGCCCACCACCTCCAGCAGGCCATCATCCAGTCTGCAGGAAGAGACAGGAAACAACCCTGCTGCGCACTCTTGGTTGCCATGGTAACATGGAGCACTTAATGCAGCCACTTCAGTAAGAATAAAAGCATCTTAGCAATAACTGGAGGTTAATTCTTGTCTCTGATGGTCATTTGAAATTTTTATGACTAAAACCTGTAAAGACTTTCACACTATACAGTCATCTCACCTTGTAGGGGGGCACGGTTCATCCCCCATACCCTCCCAGAGTCTGCAGCCCCCACCCCAGTAGCCAATGTTACAGACGATGATGCCCTCCAGACTGGGCAGCGGCACCCTCTCCCCATCCAACTCCAACTACATGAAGAACACACACATAAACATTTGACAAACAAGTCAAACAATGACAAAACCACTTCTTAAGTAACAGTGTTGTAAGATATTCTCAGCCAAGAGTGAAAACACAGATTAAGAATGAAGCTTCAGCACATGAACAAGGCAAATGTACCTCAATCCTCTTATCCAGATCCTTACATTCCTGCACTAAACAGTCTTTGGTGCCATACAGGAAATATACAGCCTGAGGAAAGAGAGGCGCAGACATTAATACAGACAGGTGGCATATTCTCAGTCTGTACCTTGTGCTCATATTCAAATTTAAATACAGGAGAAACATAATTTGCACATGTTCAAATGAGGTGGTTCAGACCTTGTTGATGATGCGGCTGGAGAAGAAGGAGGGCGTTTTCTCTCGGTGTGTGTGAAAGTTTAGAGCCATCAGAGCGTCGGGTCCCACTGAGAAGTAGTTGTTCATGGACAGAACCTGAGGGACGCATGAAGGGAATGTCTTACTACAAGTAGTACTAAGTGTGTCAGTGGATCATCTGTCTTCTATTGCACTGCAAACCCCAACTCAAAGCTTCAGTGACATTAGAGCCCAACCAGTTTATCAGCTGTCTAATAAAGACCAACCAATGTGAGTCTTTAAAGGTACAGTGTGTAGAATTTAGTGACATCTAGTGTAGAAATTGCATGTTGCAAACCCCTCACCCTCTCCTTCCAAACATGAAAAAGAAACTGTGGTAGCCTTTAATTGTCATGAAAAGTCAAACGTTTGTGCAGTTAGTTTGTCCAGTCTGGACTAATGCAAAAAACATGGCGGCCTCCGTAGAGAGGACCCCCTCTTTTTATTTCATTTTTAATCACTAATATCGATATCAGCATCGGTCTGCCTCTACGTATAATAAAATGTTGGCAGAGATCAGACTCACCTTAGGTTTACGAAAGTAGAGGCCTTTTGAAGCCACCTGCACTTTCCATCTGAAAACCATTATGTCGGTAATTAGAACAAAAGAAAAACAAGATACAAACAGATAAAAACACATCGTCCCTGCCAGTAACTGTATTATATACATATGTAATTCTATAAATGCATTATGTCTAAATGCTGAACATTCCACTGGACCCCAAAAAATAAATTCCAGGACAAAAGTGTAGAATATGTATCCACAAACTAAGCGTACAGTCACATAGAATGTATATGCAGCAAATCTTCAGTGTATGTGCTCTGAAGCTCCTTCAAATTCAACTGAATTTTATAAGAGATTTTAACACTACAAATGTAATCACTGTAGACAACTCTAAAGCAGTTGATGTAACATAAGGTCCTCCATGGCTTCTTTACACTGCATTTTAAAACACAGAGACTTAGAATTAAACACCTGTCCCAACAGCACAGCACTGAAAGCACTAGAACAGCCCCCACCTGTCCATTTTGACCACCTCCGCATCAAGGATGTTACGGAGAACCTGTTCCACAGGGATCTCTCCAGCATAACCAGCGCCCCAGCCCAGAGTGTTGGAAAGGTCATTTCCTGTCCCCAGTGGCAGGATGGTCACCCTTGGGATAAACTGGTCTTGGCCCTGACATAAGAAAATAAAGGAGCAGCAGGTTTATTATTCACTTTGCAGAGAAGTGGTGATACATACTGCAGACACTGAAGCTGTTTTCAGACATGAACTGAACTCTGACACTCTCCAGAGGGGCTGTATGTGTGGACACTAATGGTCAAGTCAGAAGCTCCGCACTTTCCCTGGAGTTTTCCTGCCAGGCCCCTGGACAATGTCTGAATGAGCCCATGTCTAGAGGTATCCCAGTGAGCGAGTGGGCTTGTTGATGAACACATGAAAGACACAATACTGAAAAAGAATACGAATATCTCAGGATGAAAAAAAAAGAGGATCCATACATGCAGAAGATGCCGGCAGAGAGAAACTTGGTAAGACAACAAGGTTGGAGAGCTTCAGGTGATAAGGGCTGACTGGAGAATCTCCTGCTGCTTTGTTAAGATGTGAATTATATAAAGTATTATGCAGACATTCTCCAGAGTTCATGTCTGAAAACGTCTGGAGTGTGTCCCACACACCACCAGGTGTGTTCATAAACATCCACATGCTTGAAGTTCACACTGGCACTTGAACCCTGCGGTAATTACGAGAATCCACGTGAATACTTGTTAGCCCCGTCTCACCTTTAGCTTCATGGTATCGATGGCATCCAGCACCCAGCCCACCGTGCCATCACCTCCACACACCAGCACCCGCACGCTGCCAGGGGGCAGCAGGGTGCACAACTGGAGGGCTTTCGAAGGAGACAGCTCAGAGAGGTCAAACACCTGGAGACATGATGATGAGAGGAAATACAAGTTTCACTCATGTTAAGTGCAGACATATGAAAAAGCTGCACAAGCTAAAGACTGACCTGCACTGGGTTAAGGATGGAGCGAAATTCTCCCAGCAGAGCTTCCCCCATGTTGTTACCGCTACGTGTGTTAGCCAAGACCAACACTGGAGTCCAGCCACTGCCGCAGGAAGACGCCAGCTACGGAAACACAAGCAAACAACACCCACGTTGCTTATAACAGCTCTGGTGACAAATCGCACAACACTCACAGCATTGGCACGCTGAGGTTCCCCGTCACTTCTCCAGCACCTTGCTGTACTCGTCCGGGTGCCTGCGGCGGAGTTTGTTGACATGGTAGAGGTAGTGAGGAGGGATGATCAGGCTGTGAAACTCGCCCAGGTCACACAGGTCTGCATCCACCAGGCTGTCCATGCAGTCGTCGTGCACCGTGGTCTGACACCACACACACCTGAAGGAGGGACAGAGCGACAATCTGTCAGAGAAGAAAGAAAATACACAAAAGCACTTCCTGCTGAAAAGGAGCAAGAGTCTGAGTCTTAACCAGCCGCAGGGGTGCTGGTCTGTCTCTGACCTTCGACCTCTAGAGGTGGGCGGTGTGAGAGGGTCACTGTTAGGATTAAAGGGATTTATCTGACAGATTATACCAGCTTGTGGCTGCCTCCACAGAGAGCAGCAGTCCATTAGAGCAAATTAATGACACAATCCCATGAAAGGTGGTTGTGCAGCATTACAAACAGAAGCCTTTCATTCAGGGAACTTATTTATTTACTATTTATTATTTTTCAGATTGTATTCTACAAGTATGTCATTGTCAGTGCTGTCACTGAAGCCATTTTTAGACATGACCTTGCCTTTCACACATGCACAACACAGCGGGAGGTTTTCTGAACAGACGTGTTCACAACAGCAACAAATCCTCCACGTTATTCAGGCGAGAGACGGAGCAGCATGGTGCGGCAGACAGACACAGGAAGTGATGTATTACCTCAGCTGCAGAGATCACCTGATCATGTTTACAGCACCCAGACACTGTTGTTCTTATCTCTTATCACCACAAACTCTCGAGAAATCTTTGTCGGTATCTTCTTCGTGTGTGTCACTGCTTTTTCACCTGGAGATATATGTTTTCTTTCTGTTCTTTTCATTTTGCTTGTTCCAACCCCACACTTGCTCTTGGTTAAATCCAGCGGGGGATCACCTGCTGTGTCCACACATCAACTTCTCCTGGATTTCTACTGACTTTAAACTAGGAGGCCTGGTGGAGAGACAACCTCCAGAGAAAGTCTGGAACCAACACTGGGTACACGCCCCCCGAGCTCATGTCTGAAAATGGCTTTAGAAAGGTAGGGGTGAAGGGAGGGGGTTTCAAGGTGGTTTCCATCTGCTACTCTACCACTAGATGTCACTGAATCCTACACTCTGCTACTTTAAATATGCACTTACCAAATCTGGAATTGTGAAGGATGTTAGACATAAAACTGCCCCCTCTGTGTAAGTTGTGGCCCCTTTAACTCCGCCACTGAGAGCACAGCTGCAGCACCAACATCTGTACCTGAGGTCGCAGAGCTTCGGCTGGGTTCCACACTGCTGCTTGCACGCAGCACAGTAACTCGCGAGGGGCACATTTCCGCGCACCCAGCGGTGCTCCATGGCTCCGTCGGGGACGCAGGGGCCCATGATCTCCTTGCAGGACAGGCTCCGGTCGGCCCGGCGCAGGCACTGCTCGTCGGCGCACACGCCGCAGGAGTCGCAGAAAGCCCCGTGCAGGATGTGCTGGGAGCAGACGCAGCAGTAGGTGGGCTTGGTGAACAGGTCGGTGTAGTGCCAGCCGTGCTTGCTCTTGCGGAAGAAATCCTTCATGTGCGTCTTCCGCTTGGAGCGCTGGGCGCTGCACCACAGCGTGATGACGACCGGGACGATGACGGCCAGAGAGGTCCAGAAGAGCAGCGTCCACTCCTCCCGGGAGCCGCAGTCTTCCTGCGCCTCGTCGCCCTCCCTGTGCATCGCTGCTGCTGTACGGTGAGGATGCTAACGAGAGGAGAGCTGTGAGGAGGAGGAAGGGGAGGATGAGGAGGAGGAGGGCTCTGTAGACACCAGCGGCCGCACACAGGACGCACAGCACGGCTCCTCCATGTTGACACACACCTGCAGGACACTGAGGGCTGATGCTCGGTGCGCAGAGGAGACGACGTGGAGCTGAACACAGGAGCTACTCGCTAACGTAGCTTCTTCAGAGAGTGTTTACACGTCGAGATGGGTGGCCACACAGAGGACAGGCACATCCGCACAGCAGTGAACCCACGTGACTACAGCCCCTGCTCTGATTCCTTTACTTCGCTGAGGTCCATCTGAGGAGTCATGATGATTCATGGGAAATAAAAACCAAGTTCTGACTCTCTGTGTTCAGATTAAAACCCCTGAGGGACATCAGGGCCACACTGGTTTCTGTTTTTTACCAGTGTAAGCCTCTTCTCTTGGTTGGTAGCGTCCTCCATGTTATACTGTGAATAACACGTTTGCTGCAGCTCCTTAAAACATGTAGTTATATTCTTCTCCTGTCTTCATTTCATAAACACCAACACAACAACAGTGCATTTCTTATGAGAACGAAATACTGATGAAAGTATTTTAAATGATAATGAAACAAGTGCATCCATAACATTAAACTTCATTTCGCAAGTGCACAATAATGCTGTGGAATAATAACTACTGGAATATAAAAACTA